CGCACTGAGCCCTCGCCCATCCGTGTGTTTCGTTTTCAGTAGCATCATCATTCCACGAATAGGCGAGGTTGGGCAAGGTCTGCCCTTGCGTGCACGACCTTCTTTCCACCATCATCGTTCCTTCTAGCCACCGTTATCTCGCTCCTTCCAAAGCCATTTCTACCATCACTTCAGTGTCAGGGGAGTTTTTTTCTGTGCAGCCAGCTTGATTTTTTTGGCCTTGGCTGTGTTTCTATGCAGCATTAGTTTAAAATTACCTCTTCAAGAAAGTTGGACCTTCAATCACGAGCTTCTTCCGCTACCAAAATGCCTACTAAATCGATGCGGTCGGGATTAGTTGATGGAAAAGTACAGCGACCCTGTAAAGAGAATGCGTCTTTTCCCATTGTTTCTAAGGATCTTGAATCTCAGGGATTGATGCCGGATGAAGTTCAGGCGCCGCCTGTAAACAGCCGCTATAATAGTTATATTTTCAGAAAATCAGAACTTTTAGGACGTCCGGCAGTTTTTTTCCGAGTTACGCGGGTGTTGTTCGTCGTCACCATGGTTGGATTCGCGGCGATGCTTTGCATTTTCTCCCCTCCGCCAAGTTTGATCGGCACATCAAACTCTCGTCTCCCCAACGGCGGCCTCACCGGCGTTTCCTCCGGCGCCGCGCGGCGCGTTCCCGTCGCGTCGTTAGGAGAAGAAAGAACCGTCAATGTAGGCAGCGTGGGAGAATTTCAGCCTGTCATCAGCGCTTTTACTGGCGAAGCTGCTTTCACAAGCGACATGGCTCGCGATGGCGGCTTGTGCATCGCCATCCCGTCCTCCCCGCGCGTTCCTCGCCGCGATTCGCCGCCTCAAAGCTCGGATTCTCAGCCGTCGGATGTTGATCGCACGGTGGACGAGGCCGCACGCTCTGCTGATCGTATGGTGGAGCTTTTGAAGGCGCTGGACGAGCAGAGAGCGAAAGGGTATCTGAAAGAGGGGACAGTGAGAATTGTCGTCGACAGTGCCGGATGTAACATTAATAAACTTTCGTTTTGACGGTTTGGGCGGAGCAAATAGAAAAGAGGATGAGGGGATGGACGGGAACGGCGGTAGCAGCGCCGCGGAAGGAAGGACTTACTTCAGGAAGTTGATTCGGCGAGGCCGGAGTGAGAACAACGAATTCAGGATACCGGATCATGTGCGGGCATACGCACAAGAGGCAAATGTCACTGATGACTATGCCAGATCTCTCCTTGAAGCCATTCATTCTTCTTGGTCTTTGAATTACCTGATCGAGCCGCACTCGCGTTCCATCCGCGAAGCTTCCCTCAACATCAGCATACCTGTCCAGGTCATCACAGCGAATCAAGCGTCTTGTGACCTTCTAAACGATCCAGACCGGCTTCTTCGGACAGTGCCACGTCAGCATGTGGAAAAGGACGGGTGGCAGAAGTGGCGGTGGCATGCCAAGCTGGCCATCTCCATTTTCCAGCGTCCCAAAGTTGTCCCCAAGAGTCCGAACGGACTCTTTCTGGACGGATTCCGGACGTGCAGAAAAAGAGACTTTTTGGACCAAGGCCTGCTACATTCCGGAGTCTGTTTTAGGTCCGACCAAAGAGTCCGCGAAGAGTCCATTTGGACAATACGAAAAGCGAAGGCAATATGTGTACATCACGTACCCGATATACTAAGATGCGTTTTACCAATAAAATTTATACCCAACCATTGTTTACATGATTTTTAATAAAGAACATGCAAAGGCATTTCTACTTATACAAACTGCTAGAAACTAAATAATGCATTGCCAGATAAATATACGAACCCCCATTAGTTAATGCTTAAAAGAAAAATAACCTGCACGGATTGAAGAACAATATTGAATGAGCCACAAGGTCCATTCCAAAAAATAATAACTACAAAATTGCTTATACTAAAACGTACAAACCGTGGTGACTGATGACACATTGTCCAACAAGGTTGAAAATAGTCACCAGAAACGATTGAAACAAACATCTCCATTTACACGGTGATTAATACATCTCTGAATACAAGAAAAACCAATAAGTACAAGACACACTGGCTATATCAACAAATCATTAAGCAAATTGAGCACCACCTTTGATGGGGCCTCTTACCAGCAACAGGGTAAGCAGCACCCGTCACGACCCTTTGCAGCGTCCTGACAAAGCAGCGCCCGACGCGTACCTTAGTGATAGAGAACTAAATGGCGGCTGTGAAATATTAAACAAAACCTTCAGATTGCGAGCACTTTCAAAGGGGAGGAAACAAACAAAACCGCGAAATCAACGTGAAGCTTGTATGTACGTATAAGTCGGTAACCACAAAAAATGCCAACATTGAATCAAACAAACCGACCTGCGTGATGACACATTCACCCTCTATGAAGGAAATCTTCACCAAATGCAACTGAAACAAACATCAGAAGGTAAGCGATGATTAGCAACCGTTAACACACAGGTTCATATTGAATTAAACAATGTAATTACCGCTCTTCATCGCGCCTCTAAGCAGCAGCCGCATTAGCAGCGCCCGTCGAGCACTTAAGTTGCACCCATCTCGTCTCTTAGCAGCACCCGCCGTAGCAGCGTCAGTCTCGCTCCTTAGCAGCGCCCATCGCGCTCCTTAGCAGTGCCCGTAGCGCTCCTTAGCAGCGCCCGAAGTTGAATAACTTGTTACGTAAAAAGAAGACCGTCAAATGCTGCACTGGGGATAGATAGATATTGGAAATAGGAGCGGTATAAGTAAACGACGTCATGGAATGCGTTATTCTGGTTGTATGAATGAATAAAAAACGTAGGACCGCGCACATCTCAGCAAGCGATGAACACCATGACATTGTTGCATAGAAAAGCAGAAACTGGATTTATAAACCTAAATGTATAACATCCGCAAAGCTAGATTGGTTCTACAAAAGTCGTAGTGCTAGGCTAACCAAAACAGATCGTGCGAACAAATGTTGGGCAAGAAATGCTCGAGTGAAAAGCTCAGTTTAAAAAATGGAGCATCTAGATCTGAAAGGGATGGACAAGTCGAGAGTGGTTGGGGGATGAGTTTGGTAAGGTGTGTAGGTAGCTGTGGCTAATGTTTTCCGAGCCTAACCTGCACAGGAAGGCGTTTGTGTGGCAGGTGGTGTGACAGGTGGCAACCCTGGCAACAGGTGTCAACATGTTGCGAAGGAGTTTTTGATTGGATTTTGAGTTTAATTGAACCAACTTGCTTGGTTTACAACCGAGTTAGCGTAGTGGTTACGAATCGCGCGTGCGATTGGGAGATCGCGAGATCGATTCTAGCTAGTAAAAAGCAACTTATAATTGGGAGTGTTCGTTTTCTTTCCTAATCTAACAATTTTGTGTTCGGTATAGTGCACCAGGCAAGCATCGATCCCCGACCTTCTGCATAGTAACATGAATCGGAGACTTCTTGGACAGATTCCGGATACTTCGCGTTTTGGCTAATTTTCGGACATTTTTAGACCCTTCAATTTTGGGTGAAGACTCTTTTTGGACACTTTTGGGGGGTCAAATGACACAATGTGGACCACCTAGCTGGCCGGCTGCATTTCGGACCGACACTTTTTGGTGATGGCACTGGATTTTGTCCACGTCATGGAGTGTATGGCTGCAAATCCACGTCATTTCCTCCTCTTACAAGATGACACATTACCCGTCAAAATGTGGGACCTTGGGATTGACATATTCATTTCCAAGGATCTCAAAGACAAGCCAGACTGGGATCTGCTATCTCTCTACCATCCAGCTTCTTATTTCTGGCCAATAATGCATGGTGACAAATACCTGGTTCCCTGCTGTGCGCAAGCTCTGCTCTTCAACTCAACTGTTGCTGCACCCATTGTTTCCTACGTGGAGGAGAATTGGTTTGCTGCACCTATGGATCTTCTCATCCATAAGTATTTGACGGAAAGAGGTCGTCAAGCATATGTACACCAACTATCCTTGTTTCAGCATAAAGGGGACGTGCGAAGTGGAGGGCAGGCTGCTATTGGATATCATATCGATACTGCATTTAGGGAGAATATCGTGGAGGAGAAGCACTACTTAGACAGTATACCACCACATAACACATCTGAGGATGAAATGTTTTCCGTAGCTTGATTTGAATGAATCGACTAGCGAAACCTGCAACATACCATATCGAATCGGAATTACAGAATGTAGCTCCTCATATGATCACCTTTCACTTCCAACATGACCTGGCAATGTACCATTAGCGTAACAGCACAACACGGTATGCTAATTTCTAACTAGAGCTCGTCATGCTGCTCTGCAGGCAAAGGTGGAGATGGCAAAGTCAACTCTGGTGGTAACAATCCTTCTGGCTCTTTTGAATGCGCCTCTGCAGAATCGGATTCGGGTGACTGTGACTGCAAGAGCGACGAGCACCCCTCCTCGAGCCGATCATACACATCATGCAGCAGTTGTTTCTTAGCGATACGGTACTGTAGCACCAGCTCCCGTTCCATGAGCGTTTTGACTACCTCTTCTGTGCACACCTCCTCCACACCTTCTGCTCCATCTTCCCCTTCCCTTTCCTCCTCCTCCCCTTCCTCTCCCTTCACTCCATCTTCTTTCTCAATCTTTCCATCGACCCACCAGCACTTCTCCAGCTGCTTCAGGCGTCGCCGATCCTCGTCGATAGGCGTGGACCAGCTCGCCAAGGCCTGCCGAACCTCATCTCGAACCAGATCCGCTCCAGCGAGGAGGCTCGTGAGCTCGTGGTCTGTCAAGCCTATGGATTGGGCCATGTCAGCACACGTTCCGCTGTAGATGTGCCAGCCGAACCACACTGAGGCTTGGGCCAAGCCTGAATAATTGGGCTCTGGTGGCAATTGTGACAGCATGGTAGGGTGACAAAAACGAGGGTTTTGGAAAGGAGTGAAAGATTGATGCTAAAAAAGAAACAGGCAGCAACAGGCATGTAAAGTTAAGCAACAGAAACAAGAGAATGGAAGTATTGCAAACCAAAACCACCCCCGTTATCCAATACATTCACAACGCACCTTCCCCGTATCCAAACACGTGCCACAGCGACGCGAGGAACATAAGCATGCGTGGGTCCACCTGTCCTCCTGCCCACACCGCATGCTCGCTGCCCTCCCCAAACACATCTGCCTTGGGTCCTGTTATCACCCCCACCTCCTCCTCCACCTTCTCTTTCGCTGCCCTCACATCCTCGGTCGCCCTCCTTAGTAGATACTCCGCCCATAGGTCGAACATGCCCTTCCTGCCCTCCTTTACAGTCACGTTCGCATAGTGCTTGTAGTAGATTTCTGCGAGATCAGCTTCGGAGGAAGTGAGGGGGAACGAGTCGTGCGGGTTCTCGGACGGCACGAAGCCGTACGCTTGTAGAAACATGTCGGTGCTTTTTGTCCCGTAGCTGTTGTACAGCTGGCTGCCAGCTGGCAGGGCGGTGTAGCTGCGGACGACGATGGTGTCGGTCTGCTCGTCCGTCTGTTAGTGCCAAGGGTAGGAGAGGGGGTGAAAAGGATGTGAATAGGAATGTGAAAAATGATGTGAAAAGAATGTGAAAAGGAATGTGAAAAATGATGTGAAAAGAATGTGAAAAGGAATGTGAAAAATGATGTGAAAAGAATGTGAATAGGATGTGAATAGGATGTGAAAAGGATGTGAATAGGATGTGAATAGGATGTGAAAAAGATGTGAAAGAAAGTGAATTGATGGCCAGAAAGAGGGATGACAGCACAGGACGCAAAACAGAAAACTGGGACGGGATTATAGACGGAAATAAGAAAACAGGGGAAAACCCCAGCACGTCTACTCTTCATGTGAAGCCCAAGCAACCACTGACCTGCCAGCCCATGGTGTTGGCGGCGTGGTGGTCAAACAGCTCTGTCAAGGGGAACAGCGCCGTCACGTACTGTGGCTCACTGGACCCACCGCTGCTGCTGGCACCGCTGCAACTGCTGCTCCTGTTGTCATTGCTGTTATTACTGCTGCTGTCGCTGCTGCCATCTTCGCGGCTGTTACCGTAGCTGCAGCTGCTGCTGTTTACAGTGTTGTTGCCGGCAATGCTGCTGGCTGTTTTGCTGAAGGCACGGGAGGACACAACAGCCACGGCCCACATGAACTCCTCCTCGCTCGCATTCCCAATAGCCGCCTTGTCACACTTGTCATACTCTGCCTTGAACGTCTCCCGGTAGGAGAAAGCCTGAGGGGACAGGTGGGGAAACAAGGGGGGGATGGTAAGGGTGTTGGAGAGACAGGTGGCATTGCCGATAGCCGCCTTGTCACACCGCGCGTATTCGGACTTGAACGCCTCCCGGTAGGAGACAGACTGGAGGAGAAGAGGGAAGGGAAGGGCACGTGGGGAAAAGGGGGAGGGAAGCAGCACGTATGACAAGCACCTCAGCTGAACCCACTGAATTACAGGGTTGATGATGCTCCGGGGCTATGAGATGCTCTGGGCCTCCGAGTCAATGACAAAATGAGTCATCTCGTTTTGAGCTGACTCAAATGCCACCAACTCTCTCACCTGCGATTCACTCACTCACTCACTCGATCACTCACCTAGTGATTCACTCACTCACTCAATCCCTCACCTAACGATTTACTTACTCACTCGTTCACTCACCTGGTGATTTACTAACGCACTCACTTATCCACCCACCCACTCACTCACATGGTCGATCATGCTCTGCAGTTCGAACTCCTGTATCAAATCGTCCGGATAAAACACCGGCAGCGGCACATACGCAGGCAGCGAGCGCACATACACGCCCCACTGCGAACCCTCACCGCTCTCCACCTTCCTCTTCTCCCTTATAATCCACGCCGCTAAGATAGAAAACGCCGGCCAGCCGGAGAGAGGGGAGATGTCGGGAGTGAGCGGGTAGGGGTGGGGGAGGGTGATGAGTTGTTCGGGCGAGATGAAGGCGGAGGGGGGCAGGGAGAAGAGCGGCTCGCCTTCGACTAGGTCGCGCGCTGCTACTACCGAGAGACCGCGCCTGGAGAGGGAAAGTGAGAGACCGCAAGGGGGGAACAACTAAGTGGGAGGAAGGAAGAGAGCGAGGGAGTATGGAGAAGAGGAGGTTGTCTTTGAGGAATTCGCGAGCTGATACGGCGGTTAAGCCACGCCGCCTCGGACGAGGGGGGTGTATGTGAGAGGACCGTCACGGCTGGTTGGGAAATGTGACGGTTGGTAGGTAGAGGTCATGGCCTAGATGGGGGAAATGAAGGCGGAGAGGAGCGAAAGCAGATTCCCGGCTTTGACTAAGTCCCGCGGGGGAGACGAAGGCGAGCGGAGGAGGGGGAGCAGAGAATGAGGTGATTGGTGTCTCGCCTTCAATGCTGTCGCTTTATCCGGTTTACTGTCTCACCTTGTACGTGACAACCCGCGGTTGCCACGTGGCTTTCCCACCACAATCTGACGTGGGACAAGGGGAAGGTGAAGTTGCGATATCGAGAGTGGGAGAGAAAAAAGAAATTAAGAATGCACGAATGTCCAGATTTCTGCGAAAGTTACTCGAAGTAACTACAGATTATATGCATTGTACCTGCAAGGGGGAGTTTGGAGTCAGCCCTGTAACTCCCCGTTCCACAAGCCAGTCCATCATGATAGAAGCAATGTGCTCCTCCGTCAAGGCTCCGTCAGAATGGACGGACTCTGTCCTACTCGACTCTGTTCCGTCAGCATTGGACTTGAGCGGTGCGGTCAGCAGCAATGCGAGCAGGAACTTCACAAAAATCATCGTGAATGAGGAATATCTGACGATGCTTCGCGAGAAACAACAGGCAATCATACAAATACGGTGTCGTCAGAGCATAACCTTTCCAAGCAAAGCTGGTATAATCACCAAACCAGAGTGTTCCTGGGTTCAGTGATTAAGTAATAGTCTTGCCTCACAAATCAGTAATAGTCTTGCATGACAAATCAGTGAAAGTCTAGCCTGACAAATCAGTCGTAGTGTCGCCTGACAAATAAGTATTAGTCTTGCCTGACAAATAAGTAACGATCTTCCCTGACAAATGAGTAATGGTCTTCCCTGAGAAACAACTTTGCGGAGCGACAGGCGGATTTCCCAATCGGGAGCGGGAGAGGTGGCAGATCTCCAAAATGCTGGGCGCTCGGTTCATATCGCGTATATCACCACAGGTTGCAACGTTTCTAGTTGGTAATGAAACGAATGAAAATATTTAAAATTGAAAGACCTCGTATACCTCTCAATTGATTCATAAATAAAGCTGCACCGATTTTCTAAGGATTGTTTCTTATTAGACGTAGCAATGGTGGAAGAGCAGATGGGGAAACGAATATATGCAGTTTTATAAGGTTGATGTAAAAAGCAGATAATGTACCGTATGCAGCTCAATTCGACCCGAAAAGTATGACTGGGAACGCTGATACTGGAGACGAAGTTACGTTCTGGCTGCTTGACCTGGAACTAGGTTCACAAGCAGCTCTTTTGCTGCGGGTGACAGGCATTCCAAGCGTGGTAATTTGATTCCTTGTGAGGGTTTTCAGAGCGATGTGGTGGCGACGCCTTCATTCGACGTCGAACTCTTGAGAATCAAATTTAAGTGCAATACCAGTGATTGCGCTTTTGGATATTGCTGGGCATACAAGGGGTGGCTGTCGTTGTCGTCTTGATGCGTCATGGCGAACCGAACGGATCCAAGGGCGCGAACGGTTCACGGCACGAACCCGCAGAATCTGGTGGAGAAGATTCTGCGCGCCAAGATCTATCAGAACATCTATTGGAAGGAGCAATGCTTCGGCCTCACAGGTGCGTGCCTTCTTCTCCGATAGTTTTTCTTATTGCGTCGTCTCAAACAGTCATCTTCAAGCTCTTAGACTTTGAGATTGTAGGATTCTTTGGACTCGAGTCGCTCCAGTGATGTTCCGCCGTTTCGGATCGCTAGCTTTGATGTGTTAACCTCGCATCCTCTCCTCTACTCCCCACACATCCACAACCCCCCACCACCACCTCCCCCACCTCCCCTCCCCCCCGCTACCTTTCGTGAATTTTGTCGCCGTTTCGCATTGCGAATTTTGGCGCCGTTTATTCCTCTCTGCGAGTGTAAACTCTAGTCGACGAAGCTAAATGTGGTTTCTTCTCCCCTATTTCCCGCTAGTGGTTGCATTTCTCGGATGGATGTAATGTTCCTAGTTTCCCTGTTTTCGTCCCCGTTTTTGCAAGCAATTGAATTTCTGTTATTTGTTACTAATGTTTCTCTTCAATTATCCGTCGTGCTTCCTCTGTTCTCTTCGCGGCAGCTGAAACCCTGGTCGACAAAGCTATGGATCTGGACCATTTCGGAGGAACCTTTGGAGGAAATCGCAAGCCTACCCCGTTCATGTGCCTCATTCTCAAGATGCTTCAGATTCAACCCGAGAAGGAGATCGTGGTGGAGTTTATAAAGAACTCAGATTACAAGTGAGTGTATTGTGTTGTGATATATGAACAGTCAAATTTGCCTGGGATCTGTAAGTAAGATCCGACCAGAGAAGGAGATTGTGGTCGAGTTTTTTCAGAACTCGGATTACAAGTGAGTACGTTACTTGAATGTGTCAACGGTCGAATTTGCCTGGTTCTCAAGATTCGTCAGGTTAATTCGGTTTTTTTTTGGGGGGGAGGGGGATGCTAGTTGGGCTCATTGAGGGCAACGACGCTCTACTGCTGGAAATATTCAACCTACATCGTCTCCTTCCTTTCCCCCCTCCCCTCCTTCCCGCCTCCCCCTTCCAACCCCCGTCCCCTTTACACCCCTCAGGTACGTGCGGTTGCTTGGAGCGTTCTACCTGCGCCTGGTGGGCAAGCCACTGCACGTGTACCAGTACCTGGAGCCGCTCCCACTGACTCGCTCCACCTCCCAACTCACGTCCCTGCCTTTCCCCCTGCTTTCTGTCACGCGTCCCCCGTCCCTCCCCCCCTTATACCCCTCAGGTACGTGCGCCTGCTGGGGGCGTTCTACCTGAGGCTGGTGGGCAAGCCCATGGACGTGTATCAGTACCTGGAGCCACTCATACCACCTCGCTCCACCTCCCAACTCTCATCCCTGCGTTTCCCCCTCATTTCTGTTATCCCCCACCTTTCTCCTCAGGTACGTGCGGTTGCTAGGGGCGTTCTACCTGCGCCTGGTGGGCAAGCCAATGGACGTGTATCAGTACCTTGAGCCACTGTACAACGACTACCGGAAAGTGCGGAGGAAGCTGGAGAGTGGAAGTGAGTTCCTGCTCTTGTCTGTCGTTGCCATTACGAGTTCTAGGTGTCCAGATTTCAACTGTGCTAGTCCGCAAACCAATGGACGTGTATCAGTACCTTGAGCCGCTGTACAACGACTACCGGAAAGTGCGGAGGAAACTGGAGAGTGGAAGTGAGTTTTCGTCGTTGTCTGTTGGCGTCGTTGCGAGGTCTAGGTCTCTCGGTTTCCAAGTGCGTAACATATCGTTCTCTTCCTTTCACTCACTCCCCGTTCTCTTCTTCAGGCATAATGTTTTGTATGTCGATTCTATCATCAGGGAGCTCTATACCCTACCCGCTCTTTAGCTGCAATGTTCCGTTCTTGTAACCTGCAATCGTTTCCCCTCAGTCCTCATCTTTTTTCGTCCAAATAATTAGAGTAAGGAGCTTTGGACCGCCCTCGATTTGGACGCTCTCGATTCCAAAATAAAGTATTTCTTCACACCGCTCTCAATTTCCCCTCTCCTCCCCCATTCCATTCCCCCTCCCTCTTTGCTCACCAACTCATACTTCCATCCTTTGTGTTGTCACATGTGGACGAGTTCATAGAGGAGCTTCTCATGCCCGACTTCAAAAGTGATATTGCTGCACACATGTTCCCCCCTTCCCCACTTCCTTTCTCCTCAGTGTTTGTGTTGTCGCACGTGGACGAGTTCATAGAGGAGCTTCTCACGCTCGACTCCAGCTGTGACATCGCCTTGCCTCGCATACCTCGCAGGTATGAGGCTTGCGCCTGGTTGTAGCCTTCTTCTCCTTTGTCTATGATGTGCATGGTCTTTTTGTGTACTTTGGACTCGCAGCACTATTTTAAGCACTGTTTTCGCAGCACTGTTTGTGGTATCTGCTCCCTGCTTTGGTTCAAACCTCCTGCCTCTTCATCTACCATGTATGTATGCATCATGTTTTCATCTATTTTTGTCTGGTCTTGCAACATTTCACCATGTGGTCTTTGTCGTGTCTGCGTTTTTTCAGATGGACGTTGGAAGCAGCAGGGCAGTTGGAGTTGAGAAAGAGTGGGTTGGATTACGACGAGATGGAGGAGGAAGAGGAAGAGGAGGAGGAGGAGCCAGAACCAGTCACTGATAAGGTATGAATGAGCTGATAAGGTATGAATGAGCTGATAAGGAATGAACTGATATGGAATGGGCCGAGGAGGAATGAGCCGATAAGTTATTAGCTGACAAGGTTTGAGTCGATACGTTACGAGCTGATAAGCTATGAGCCGAGATAAGTTATGAGCTGATAAGGTATGAGCCGATAAGTTATGAGCTGATAAGGTGTTATGAGCTGATAAGCTATGAGCTGGCTTTCTTCCTCTCTGGTTGGAAAGTGGCTGTCTTCTTTCATGCCAATTGATTATTTTCCCTTTCCTTTTCAGAGCGTGCTCTTTTCCAAATTCTCCCATCTTTTGTCCGCACATGCACGTGTGTCCAGGCTGAGGAGAAAGATCGGTATCGGGAAAGAGAGAAGGATCGAGACAGGGACAGAGACAAAGAAAGAGATAGGGACAGGGACAGGGATCGAGACTATTCCAGGTATGTGCCACTGTATTCAGGTTCTTGTTGAGTTAATTTTAGGTACTTTTTGTTCCCGTTTATCTGAGCAATGTCGGTAATTTTTGTTAAGTGCCCTGTTTGGTTTCCACTCAATATTTTGATAGGGAGAACAGCTGGCTGGGCATCTTCTCGGAAGCATCTTCTTGGGGAAGCTTTCTGAAGCATGCTGCAGTTGTGCTTGCGAGGCGGCAAGAGCTCATCTTTGTTTAGGCAGTCCTTGACCGGCATCTTGCCGTTGCAAGGCTGTCTTTCCCAGATGGCCCACTCTCTCTTGCCCCCTCATTCTTGCATGGATGGGGGTTGCCTTGGTGTCAAATGTTCTCCCGAGAACGAGCCTATGCTTGTACTCTTTGTGGAGTTCTTCGGAGTTCCTTGAGTGTGCATTCATGGGTATCAGTGCTTCCAGGTTTCCCAGTGCTGGCAGTGCTCTGAGAGAAGTATAAAGCGCTGAACATGATTGAGTATTTTATGGGGTGCTTTAGAGATGAATGGAGATGAAATGAAAAAGCGCAAGGTGCGTTTAAGGTCGAATCTTCTGCGTTGCGGTATTCATCCATGCCCAGCAATGCCTCTCTTTGCCGTGTTGCCTCTTTGCTTTCATCTTTGCAGGGACCGCGATCGAGACAGGGACAGAGACAGAGGCAGGGAGCGAGACAGAGACAGGGACAGGGACAGAGACAGGGACAGGGACAGGGATAGGGACGGAGACAGGGAGAGGGACAGGGACAGGGAGAGGGAGAGGGACAGGGAGAGGGAGAGAGACAGGGATAAGGATAGGGACAGGGACAGGGATAGGGACAGAGATTGGGCAAGAGATAGGGGTAGGGAGAGGGACCGAGACAGGGAGAGGGATAGGGACGGGGGAAGAGACAGGAGCAGGGAAAGAGATAGGGGTAGGGACAGGGAGAGAGACAGGGATGGGGACAGGGACAGGGACAGGGACAGGGAGCGGGATCGAGACAGGGACCGGGATGGTGATTCAAGGAAACGCGATCGAAGAGATGAGGCGGCTGATGAGATCAAGTAAGTTTGCATAGCGACTTAATTCTGCATAGCCAAAATATTACGCCACTGTAGCATATCTTTGTTGATACATTGCTGTATTGCTCATGCCCCCTTTTTTTTTGTGGCAGGGAGAAGAAGAGCAAGAAGGATAAGGAGAAGGCAGCAGATGGGACAGATCATGAGGATCCTGAAATTGCGGAAGCCAACAAGCTTCGTGCGAAACTTGGATTGAAGCCACTTCGTGCATGATTTTTAGGGACACTAGGTCATTTCCCGAATATGTCAAAGATTGTGAGAACTAAGGTCCTCTGCAATCAATTTAGCCCAGCAGCTTCATATGAATACTGCTGCATAGGAAATTCATGTTTAGATATTTAAATTTACTGTAGAGAGGATTTTACGCCGTAAGAGATTTTCGAGTCATTTCCCTGCCTGTTGCTGCTTCGCCAGCATGCGCAGCGCTTCCCTCTTACCTATGAGATCTAGGAGGTTGTATTGAATGCCATTACCTCTCAACAGATTCAGTGGACAAACAGACGGTATTTTCCAAGGTCACTAGTTTGGAACGTTTCCGAGCGCTGTGAGGCAAAATGTCGTTAACGAACCTGCCGCCTTCTCTGAACGATATTTCGAACCAGCTTAGTAGAAGCTTCACTCAGTTGAAGTGAGTGGTTGAAATAGTGAATAAGAAAGAACTTTCAGAACCTATGCAGAGCTTGACACTATTAATCTGTTACAGGACTACCTTTTCAAAGATTGATAAGTGCGAAGACCCTTCTCGACAAAGCCAGTTGCTGGAAGACGTCACTCCTAAACTTAGAGAGTGCAGAAGGTGGATATGAAATTTCTGCTCGTGGCGTCGAAGTTTCATTACTGAGCAAACGGATCTTGTTTCAGGTTGATTCAGGAATTCGAGCGCGACATGAAAGACCTAGAAGCAAAGAACTCACCGGAAGTGAACAAATTGCTGCAGGAGAAGAAAAGGACTCTTGTGAAAGATCTTAATGCCTTCGTCACTCTCAAAAAAACGTTCGTACATTTTGTTATGATGCTTGTCATTACCCTTTGTCTGACCATGATGCTGTTTTGCAGTTACCAGAGCGCTATTCAGGAAGGCCAGAAGGTGAAGCTGAGTGAAGACGGAAGAACGGCTGAAGTTGTGGGAGCTCCCCGGCTAGCATCTGGTAAGACTGCCTTCTTGTTGACGCATGATGCTCCATTTGACGCCGGAACCGTATAGAGCGTTCATTCCTGGTTGCCCTGCAGCAATGACGAATGCTCAGCTAATGGAGGAGGGAAATCGTGTCATGGGACAAATGGACCAATCTGTTTTTAGATCCAAGCAGGTTCTTTCTTGCTACAAACTCCTTTCTCGAAGGCGATGCATATGTTCCTGATGTGCTTTTCGTGTTTCAGGTAGTTGAGAACACTATCAACATTGGGGCAGCAACAGCTACGACTTTGAAGGGACAGGTATGGCACTGAAGATTCTGCCTTGTAGGTGCTGAGTTCTTACTCTTGTGTGACGCGTGCAGACAGAACAAATGGAGCGGATTGTTGATAAGCTTGACAATCTGGAATTCTCCCTCAAGCGCACAACCAAGCTTGTGAAGGCATTGGGCCGACAGGTGAGTCAAACGTTAGTGAATGTTTTTTTCGTCACACCTTGCGACTTTCATAACACAACTACTGGAGCAGATGGCAACAGATAAATGTATCTTGGCAATGCTGGCGCTTGTTATTCTTGGAGTGATTGCCATCATAATCGTCAAGGTGAGTTGGGCCTTCGCTTTGGTAAACTTCCCTGACATCTTCGCCTTAGCTAACTTCCAACCCAAAACAGATTGTAGACCCGCATAACAAGAAGTTGAGTGACTTTGGTCCACATGCTCCTGCTTCAAACTGAACATAGTCTTACAATGTTCTACTATAATGTCACCATTGAGCAGAAACTAGATTACAAACAATATACTCCCATATTTTCTCCCCCGTCGCCCCCTCCTTGACTGTACTTCACAAGCAAGCTTACCCATAGAAAATTATCAGATAGAAGGTGAAGTGTCTCTTGCTGCCTGCTTACTATCAAAGTGAAGGTTGCTGCCAGGTTTATCACCCGACATGGTAGCCCCCACCAGCGCAGCCATAAACTTCTGAAGTCCCAGGTCGCCGGATGTGGCAGTCTCAATGCCTACAGAGCATAGTAGAGAGGCTCTTGCTGCCCGCTGACTGTGAGCATGAAGGTTGCTGCCAGGTTATCACCCGACATGGTAGCTCCCACCAGCGCAGCCATGAACTTCTGCAGTCCCAGGACACCAGCCGTGGTTGCAGTAGGCGCAGGGATTTTCACGTCAACAGTCTTGGAGCAAGTCAACACGCCCTTGATGTTTGATGTGAACGGGCATGCGAGGGCAAGAGGGGCAGACTTGTCGGCTCCGACCTGACCCACCAGAGAGACCTTTGAGTTGGTGTTTACGCCCTTGGTGAAGGCCAGGTGCACCTCTAGAGTAACCTTGGTGTTGCTGCATGACGGGGGTGCAGAGCGAAGGGGCAGAGAGAGGGTGCAGGGAAGGAGGGCAGAGAGAGGGTTCCGGGAAGGGGGGCAGAGAGGAGGGGCAGAGAGGGGGGACAGAGAGAAGGGGGCAGCAGAAGACACAACAAGTAGAGCAGATATAAGTCGATTTGCTTGTTTGTAATTGTATATTTTCATAAATTTGTCATTAGGCTTCCCCTCTGACCAGCCCCACCATCCCTTCCAAACCCCTCAAATGCAGCCTCTCCTGGCTTGGCTTGGCTCTCATTGCAATAGGTGTTCCGAAATTACGAACTCACGTGCTGGTGGCGATGCGGATCTTGGCTCCCCCTACCACGGCGCCAGAGAACATGGCTTGGAACCGACCGCCTGCCATGGATGGCAGCACTGCGAGGCCTGGCACGTGGGAAGGGAAGGGCGCGATGGGGGCGGAATGGAAGGGGCGCGCATAGGATGGGGCGGAGGAGTCAACGGGGAGATGCGGAATGGGGGGGATGCAAGAGGAGAGGTGCATCAGCCTGACGGGACTGCCAGTGCCAACTGGAGGGATGCGATTCACAGAGTCCGCAGCGGAGCATAACTCGTCATGTCACGACTCGTCTTGTCACGACTCGTCTTGTCATGACTCGGAGTCATCATAACGATTGGATGGAAAAAAAAACACAGCCTGCGTTGCCACATTCAGAACGAGTGCATCCGTACCGGTATCAAGAGCTCCGATCTTAGTCAGCGACCCCGACGCGGTCACCGCGTTGCCGTTCACATCCGCGTGCGACACTTCGGCACTGACACTTGCCAAGAAGTTCCCCATGTCAACGGTAGACCAGTCGAGACTCCTAGTCAGGTCCCACACGCCCGGCGCGACCAGCTTCCACTGACTGGCGTCCGATGCCAGAGACGTGCCATCGAGAGATACGTCTGTTGGTGGGTCGACGCTTCCCGCCATGACCACGCGGAGAACCACCGGGAATAGGTCCGTGCTGGAGTGACGGGAGCACGAGGGACCGACGGGGAATGGGAGGAAAGGGGGAGTATGGATAACACGGAGGTTTCAGACGTTATCAGCAACGGAGTTGAGTTGGAGAAGCTTCGTGGAACGGAGGAATGCAGGGAATGAAACACATGACGCTGACGTGACGGGAAAGCTGGACTTACTTGGCAGGCATTCGCACAATCACGGTCCCCTGCGATTCGAACGATGACACCACCAGAGCACTATAGAAGGCTGCAAAGAATTGGAGGGGGAACGGGAGAACGAGCGGGTTAGCCGTTGGGACCGCACTGGGATCCGAATGGTAACGCAAACTGAGCGTGACGCTGGGTCAAAGCGCTGCCGCGTATGGCCTTACATGATTGCGAGGAGGTTTTGGGAACGAATTTCTTGATATCCGCGTCCGCGACCTCGAACGCCGCTGAAGTCATGGTGACAGGCGCCGCGCAGAGGAGAAGCACGAGTCCTGCGGAAATCAAGTGTATCGTGTATAGACTTTTTTGTTAGCGTGAATCGCCGTGAAATACAATCGTAAAAGCTCTGATCTCTGTCGGGATAGGGTAGCTGTAATGAACGGGGCATCCGAATTTGCGCCTCGAAGGTTCTTACCTGGAAGGCACATAAGGGATACGAGCCAATGCGGAAATGTAAGGCGAGCCATGATGACACGTTTGAGTGAAATGCCGCGAACGGACAGTGGAGGTGGCGAGAATTAGAAGAAGATACTCGGTCTTTTCTGGAAGTAAACTGGCTAGGAGCGAGAATTAGCACAAGGGCAATCGGGACTGAGTCAAGAGGTGGAATGCGGGATGTGAACTGACGAATACTAGTGAAAAAACGATCAGGTTATGTAGCGTCGCTTGCCTGTGAGGGTATTGATCAGTAAGGTGGTAAATTAGTTTGGTTGAGGAATATACGGAGGCTTGTCGAGGGTTGATGTGCGGTGCAGAAGGTTGACGATGGATAGAGCTGGGTGGAGGAAGGGGATGGGGAGGGTAGGGCGATGGGATTGGATGGGGTTGGAGATTCAATCACTGCATTATTGGGTGTCCGAAGCGCGGTGTTTGAAAATATCGTCACGCGTTGGGGGGGGGGAACCATGGAATGAATTATGGTTTCTCATGTGGTCGAAAATAGTTCTGAGCGTCATTCATATACCACCAATAACCGTCAGCTCTGCCCGCCGTTTTTGGGCAGCAATTATGCAGCTTCGTTTGTTTTCCGTGTTACCCTGAGTTGAGCTACCAGCCTACCACCTCTTCTGGGAGAATTGCGTGTATCGTCGTCAGAATTCGCCTTGTCGTCCAGAGACTCTGCGAGTTCAGCGAAACACATCGAACTTGCTGCCGCCAACCATTTCCTTTCTGGTCAGCCAGAATCTTTCTGAGGCTCAATATTAGGTGTTGACGGAGCCTGACGTTCCCCGTCAGTTGAGGTACGAATTATTGGTGCCCTGCTGATTCGCCGTCAGCTTTATTGTTCTTCCCCCCCCTCCTCTCCCCTCCCCAAGACTCACCTCAAGTCAAACAGCTTCAGTCAGTTTCCAGCTTTCGCCATTCTGGAACGCGGACAGAGCCTATCCATTTTCCTGCCAACTAGGTTCCATTGGCGCAGCTAAGACGCGAACGTCTTTTATTGATTGGTTAGAAAGCAAGCTGCCCCGTTCCTTGAATCACGGGATGCACGATGCCTCTATTGTTTCTCACTTTGATTGGAACGCGAACATGTGCATTATCGCTGGACCCCTGGCCGAAAGGTTGACGGACTGGCAATGACGGTCCGGATTTCGCGCTTACCTCACACAGCACAGCTGAGCGCTGCGTGTTCACTTCCACCTTTCGACGCAAGCCTTCTCATCCGCAAATCGTTTATTACCACCATCAGACCCACATCCTTTTCTCATCAACAGCCTTTCTCTTCCCTAAACATCCCTTTCTAAGAGCTCCTTCTTCTCTTAAGACTGCAAACACTTCTTCAACCGCGAGTTCCATTTGCATCAGTGGTATCGCTGTCTAGGGCTTCTCAGCGCCAACTTCAGAAACACCCGCGATGGCTCTCCCCCGTGTTCTCACGTGTCTCCTCATCATCGCCGGTACGACTTCTCATCAACCCATGCCTCTCACCTCGATCGCTGGGCTGTTATGCAGGCTTAAATAAATTTCTATTCCCATCCCCCTGCATTTTTAACTACGTCGTATGTCGCTAGTCGTTATAATCATATTTCATCATTCTGATGAACTTGTTTTTTTTTTTTTTTTTCATTTGTTCGTTTTTCTCATGAACTTGCTTTTATCGTTTTAATTGTTCTTATGAACTTGCTTTTATGGTCCGCTGCAGGCGTGCTGCTCTCGTCGTCACTTCCCAGAGCAGAGGCGGTGAGCGAGGCGGCCAAGCAGCGCGCCGCAAAGGCGGGCCTCGCGTTTGTGAAGGCCGTCCTCACGATGCTTTTCCCGCCGGCCACGCCTGCCGCCAGTCAGTGCCTCCATCCCTTCCCTATCGCTCTCCTCGCTCCTTCGCTCCGCACCCTGCTCTCCCAATTTTCTCTAGTTGTAATTCTTTCGCTCGAAATTTCGAGTCTTAATCTTGTGGTAATCTTGTGATAAATCCTTTTTCGAGTCTGAATCTTGTGGTAATCTCGTGATAAATCCTTTTAACCTAATTGAATATCTCTCGCGTTTTGTGTCAGTTATAATTCCACCAATCGCTCATCCTCTCGCCTCCTCTCTTTCTCATTGCCACGTCGGATAATCGCCAATGCAGAGTTCTACAGCGCGGACTTTTCGGATTCGGATGTGGCAGGGACGTTCAGCATTGCTGTCCCGTCCAAGTAAGAAATTTGCAATCAGGATTGGCAGTCGGTTTTGCGGTCATTCATTCTCTCTCACCAGAACCATTTCGAGTATTTCCCGTTTTCCAATGTCATCCGACCCATCCCCCAATTCCCCATTTCCTTCCCCCCTCAAAAATCCTTTCGCCCGCGTTTCTCTCGTCTCGTCCTCATTTGTTCGTTTCCTGTTTCCCCCATACCCAACCTTGCCAGGGCCGCGACCAAGCCGTCGCAGTTCCGCCTGACCGCTGCAGGTTCGCCCTATCCGCCGCAAGAATTGACCCTGAACTCGAGAACTCCCGTCGTGCTGGCTTCGCTCGGAAAGAACATGCAGTGCTCGCAAGTTGCGTCGAGCGTGTGGGACTGCTTCGGCCAGACCAAGCTGACCCAGGCCAATATTAACAATATCGGATTCACAGCTGGCGTGGGGGTTCGCGTGGATTCGCACGCGCTGAGTCTGACGTACACGGATGCGCGCAACATGGGGCTTGTCGTCGACTCCAATGCCAACCTCGCGAAAGCCCCTTCGACTTCGAAAATGGCGCAAGTGTTTGGTACGTTGCTTGGCTTGGCTCCACCCTGGTAACCCGGTTTGTGAATCTGTGTGTTGCTTAAGACGAGCGATAATTTACCCTTTCGAACTCGATGTTGGCTGCTGGCAGGTAAAACCGATCTGCTGGCTGGGGTTGCTGCTGGAAGGTTCCAGGCAGCGATCAACGGGGAGCAGCTCAAAGGAGGAGCCATGTTTGCCGTCTCCAACATGTGAGTCTCAATCCCGGTTCTCAGTCCCTACTCTAGCTGCACCACAAATGCCTCAATTCCGGTTTTCGTATGCCAATCTTTCTTCTAGGACGGTACAGTAAGTCTTGACTTCCCATTTTCCTGGAATTTTGCTGTCTACCCACGCAGACCTCAAACCCACTGCCCTGTTCCCCCTTGCTCCCTTCTCCCTCCCTCCTCCCTTCAGCAACCGCAAGTGCAAGCTAGACGTGAGCATTGTGGTGGTCTCCCCAGACGCCCCCAAGCCATCCGCAACGCTCTCGGTCACCGACCCTGCTACTGCCGAAACCACTGACCTTAACCTTCCTTGCGCGTGGTCCCAGCCCCGCCCCGGCGTGTGGCTGTGCGAGTGGCTCGATAACTTCCCAAGCGTGTCGGGTGCTGCTGGCACTGCAGGTGCTGCTTACACGGCTGCTGCCAGCATGCGTGCAGCGGCCCTGCCAGGCTCGGCAGTGGATTCGGTGTTTAAGGTGACTGTTGAGTCGGAAGCGGGGGACTCTGCTCAAGGCACGCTGCGCTATGCCCTGTGAATGAAGGAGACTGAAAAGCTGCTCTGTTTCTCATAAGGTGGTGCTGCTGAGTATTCATGAAGAAAAGCTGCCTTAGAGAGTGAATAAGTATGCTTGCTGCCTCCTTCCTGAAAGAGGTTGCACTGCCATTGTTCCCCTTCCTTCCTCCCTCTCTACGCTTGCTGCTTCTATCTTCTTTCCCTGTTGGTGGTGTGTGTAGTGTAGACTTGCAGTTCTTAAGCGCTCATTGTTGTAAGATGCCCCTGACGCAAGTTACTTCAGAGATGTCGAAAGATGTCCCTCCCAGCTGATAATCCGTATGATAAGTAACATGTGCAGCCATGGTTCCAGAAACCACTGGTAAGGTTTAGTACCGTATTCCCCCGGATATAAGACCCTAGGGTCTTATGCTAAATCCCTAGAAAAAATGGGGGGGGGGGGGGGGGGGGGGGGGGGGGGGGGGGGGGGGGGTATTTACAAAGGAAAAAAAATTATAACACCCGGGTCTTTTCATACGGCATATTTTTTACTTAGTGTTTTGAACACTGCTGTTAATACTGAAATGGTGGGTTTGCTTTTGGTGAGCAACAAGCTAGCAAATAGTTCGCTTGACCAGTCACAACCGAATTCGCCTGCCACAGTAGATTCGCCCCTCTGACGCAGCGATTTCGCCCCCTGACACGGCAATTTCGCTCCCTTACGCAGCAATTTCGCCCCCTGACGCAGCAAACCGACCCCTGACGCAGCAAATCAGCCCCCTGGAAAGCCAGATTCGCAGTATAGAATGTTTCAGTTTCGAATAAACAAAGAAAAAGTACATGGAAAACCCCCCTACAAGGGAAATGGGGGGGTCTTATATTTATCACCCCCCAAAAGGGGGGTATAACGAAATCGAGGTTTTATAAAGCACCCCCCCCCGTATTAGGTACCCGGGGGTGTTGTATTTTGGGGGGGTCTTCTATCCGGGGGATTACGGTATGTATGCATCACCACTGCATGCATCTGTAAGGCCTGACACGCGCATTGCGTCAGAACTTCGATCTGTCGCGTGGCACATGCGATTTCGCGTTCGTGGTGCTCCAAGTGGTAGATTCAAGCGTGGAAAATAAAAGCATCCCCACTAAAACTGAAAACTACACCCCTAGATCTTATAAATGTAGTTGCTAATTAAGTGCATCTGGACACATTCCGCTCTGGACACAAATGTCTCAATCGCGTCATGAAACTGAAATAAAAGCATCCCCAATAAAACTGAAAAGTACACCCCTAGATCTTATAAATGTACCGCATTCCCCCGGACATACCGTAATCCCCCGTATATAAGACCCTAGGGTCTTATGATAATCACCCCTAAATAGGCTGGGGGGTATAATTACATGGTGTATTTTTTAGAAGACCCGGGTCTGTTCATATTGACATTTATAAGAATGTAGTTTTGGAGCTCAAAGTAGTGATTTGGAAGTGCTTCGTTTTTAGCTCCTGCCAAATATAATCGAATTGGTCTCCACACGGGCCGAACCCACGTCATCACGAACCCTATCTGGGAGCCTCCTCCCATTGGCCACCAACACCACTTGGTGTCCATTAGGGTGGTAATGTGGGTGTGCATGTGTGTTCATGGGTGCGATTAATGTTAATCAACACTGAATTTGACCATTTTCAATTGCATCTTTGTAAAATCCGCACTTCTCTAGGATGTGGGGGGGGGTCTTATAATGTTAGGGGCCATTTGGGGGGGTATAACTCAGATGTACATGAATAGAGTACCCGGTGCCGTATTATAGACCCGGGGGTCTACAACTGGGGGGGGTCCTATATACGGGGGATTACGGTACCACCCCCCGAAATAGAGCACCCCCCGGGTGGCTTGTGCGGGGGGGGTGCTATAGCGGGCCTCGTTTCGACTATACCCCCCCTTTTGGGGCCATCCTATATAGCACCCGGGAGGGGGGTGTTATGTACGGGTATAATTGCAGTTTTTGCCTAAGTAGCACAGGGTTTCCACAGAATTTATGCTTGGACATGGGCAGGTGGTGGTAGGACACTCTGCCGAGCATTGCTGAGTTCGTGGAATGGAGCCGCTGCACAGAAAGAAGGATCAACTCCTTCACAGTTCAATGACGTGCCCGCCCAGCGAGGCAACCGAGGCTGTTGCGGGGACTCCGCCATTGTCACCTGCATGAATCCTCGTCGTGCGACGAGGGGGTGTGATTTCGTCCAATCAGGGCCTGACAGTGGGCCTTGTTGGAGCTTGCAATGTGGCAGCTAACCCTCGCGCAAAACGTTATCGCCCAGTCCTCGGTTTTGCGCACCCAACCAGCAATCTACCACCACGGCACAGATGTACATTTAGTACTAAACGTTTTACGCTATAAAAAAAATATACATTATGTAAAGACCCGGGTGCAATGTAGCTTTTTCCGATGACAAGACCCCCCCTTTTTTTTGTGTAGTTATCATAGCACCCTAGGGTGGTATATCCGGGGGAATACGGTAGTTGCTAATTAAAGCCAGCAGCTAAAATAGTGACCCCCCCCCTCTAGTTGGGTCCAACTTGAAGGCCCAACTTTCTTTTTAACGTTTTGGAACGTTGAAGTGCTTTGTGTTTTTTTTCCCGCCACCTCCAGAGGAGTTTCGAAAGGAACCAGGAACAAGTGGGATTCATTCTCAATTTTGATTGGCAGCGATATTCTCCAACATGCACATGTGCGATTGCGAGGGGCAAAGTTGAGCGACGTGAAATGTTGCATTCACAAGAGCTGTCACTTCACCAGATTCACATCGATCAAAAAATTCCCAAGCAGTCACACATGTACGAAATGGGTGGAAGAGAGTGAACGTGGGAAGGAGCTAGCAGAGCTGCGAGCAAGGTACTGCCGAGGACTTCGGACCTGGGAGAGGTGGCGATAACGAGGAATTGAGAAAAATAAAACACAAGAAGTGAAACGACGATGGAGGTGGTGCGCACGGCGACAAAGAGGGGGAACGGGAGTGAGGAAGAGTGCGTTGACGACAATGTTGACGGTGGGAGGGTAGAGAGAGAGATGGGAAGCGGGGACGGCGAGGGCGACAGGAGGGGAAGGGGGGACAGAGGAATGGATGGGAGAGGAGATCGCGATGGGAGGGATGGGAGATGGCGATGGCGAGGGCTCAGGACGACGGGAGGGCGACGGTATAGCGAGGGCGCTGGGATTGCCACGGGATGGCGAGGGCGAATAGGATGGCAACGGGAAGGAAAGGGAGATGGCGGTGCGAACGTGGGAAGGGATGGGAGACGGCGATGGCGAGGGGAAGGGATGGGAGACGGCGATGACGAGGGGAAGGGATGGGAGACGGCGATGGCGAGGGGAAGGGATGGGAGACGGCGAGGGCGAGGGGAAGGGATGGGAGACGGCGAGGGCGAGGGGAAGGGATGGGAAACGGCGATTACGATTGTAAAGGCGATCGCGACAGGAGGGCTATAGGAAGACGCAGGAGGCCGATGGGAAGCGGACGGAAGGGCGACCGGAAAGCGATGAGAGGGCGACGGGAGCGCGACGAGAGGGCGACGGGAGCGCGACGAGAGGGCGACGGGAGGGCGACGAGAGGGCGACGGGAGCGCGACGGGAGGGCGACGAGAGCGCGACGAGAGGGCGACGGAAGGGCGACGGGAGGGCGACGGGAGGGCGACGGGAGGGGCGACGGGAGCGCGACGGGAGGGTGATGGGAGGAAGTGCGGTAGGAAGTAATTACAAGGTGAAAGCGAGGCCACTGTATGTGCCATTATTTCTTGGCTAGGACAGAGAAACGTAGGCTCTTGGCTACTATGTGCTTGGCAACGTGAGAAGGAAAGCGGAAATAAGCACATGTGGAACCCAGGCCCAGCTTGAACCTAGAGGTTGGACCCAAAGATGAAAACCAGCGACAAGCAACCGTCGTGCGAGTGCAGCACCAGAAATGCGACATCGCCTGACGTGCGCAAAAAAAATTACTTTGACGGGAACCAATCACATGAGTTCGATCTGAAGACACGAGAATGTTTGCAACAGTCTTTTACCGGCCCAGTTTCGTTCTCGCCTGACCCCGTCAGAACACGTTTTCAAGCTGGGTCGGGGTTCACAATTTTATATTTCGGTTTTAAGTGCATCTGGGTACATTCCGCTCTGGACACAAATGTCTCAATCACGTCATAAATGTTATAGCCCTTAGTGGGTCATACTATATGGGGTACAAACAGATAGGGTTAGGTACTTGTACCCCAACTCAATCAATGCAAGCCATTCCGCTGTTCTCAGTTACTAAGATGGTATCAGCAGTAGGTTCGTTGTTCCTAGGCCTTAGTCACCTCCGTTCCTAGTCCTATGCCGTCCCTAGCCAGCGCCCTCGCCCACGACCTAGCTACCGCCCTGGACAACGCCCTAGCCAGCGCTCTAGGCTCTCCCCCCCCCCTCCCCAGCAGGCCCGCCAGTGCCTTAGCCAGCTGGCCCGCTAGCGCCTTAGCCAGCAGGCCCGCTAGCACGCCACGCCAGCGCGCACGCCAGCGCGCCACGCCAGCGCGCCACGCCAGCGCGCCACGCCAGCGCGCACGCCAGCGCGCACGCCAGCGCGCCACGCCAGCGCGCACGCCAGCGCGCCACGCCAGCGCGCACGCCAGCGCGCCACGCCAGCGCGCACGCCAGCGCGCCACGCCAGCGCACCACGCCAGCGCTGCGTCGCCGCCCCGCCCGTCCGCCTGCGCGCCGCGTCGCCCGCCGGCCAGCGCGCCGCGCCGCCCACCGGCCAGCGCGCCGTGCTGCCCCCCTGTGCGCCTCTTACACTGCCTCCTCGCCTCCTTGCCTGCGCGCCTGCCCACGTGCCACTGACTGTCTCACCCTCCTGCGGCTGGTAGCCGCGCTCTCTCGTTTTTCGCCCCTTATGGCGACCACTCGAGTGTTTCGATTTGACCCTGAGGGGAGACCGATTGATTTTAGTACGTGGCTTACGCAGGCGCAGCGCCACCTTAAGAGCCAGCGGCAGGATGGCGTGCACCTGTTCGCACACGCATCCGGTACTCAGACCGCCCCTCCTCAGCCTAGGCCGCTGCCCACCACCCCGTCGCCTACTCCTGAGCAGGAGGCCGAGTACCAGCGCCAGTTTCTTGCTCGCGACGTGTGGGAGTCTCGTGACGCCGCTGCCTGCCTCGCCCTGACCGACCTTCTCCCACCGACCGAGGCAGTCCACTTCACTCAGGTCGAGTCCGCTGCAGATCTGTATAAGGCTATTGTTGCTCGCTACTCCACTCCCTCCTCTGCCTCACTCAGTCGCCTCCTCGTCCCCTTTATCTACCCTGACCTCGCCTCCTTTGAGACTGTCTCTGACCTCACTGCCCACCTGCGCTCCCTTGACACTCGCTTTCGTGCTGCTTGCACTGAGGACCAGCTTGCCCTTGCCCCGCCCCCTATGTGGCTCACCATTCACTGGCTAGTCACTCGCCTCCCTGACCGCCTAGCCACAGCCCGCGACGCGCTTCTTCTGAAGCATCCCACTGAGCTTACCATCGATCTTCTTGAGACCGCTCTCTCGAAGATCGAGAGTAACCTCCTCGCAGTTGCCTCTGCCTCCTCAGCACCTCCTCCTCGTCTTTTTGAGGGGTGTGCGGTACCACAGCTTCCCACCTTCACTGCCTCCCTTGCCATCCCCGCGTCTTCTGCCTCTGAGGAGACGGCGGCTGTTTCTGTCTCTGGCGGACAGAAACGTGGCAAGGCTAGCAAGAAGGGAGGGAAGGGCGGGGGTACTGGGAGTGGTGTGGGTAGTGGTGGCGGCGGTGGGGTGGGTGGTGGGAGTGGTAGTGGGGGTGGCTCGGGCCCTGACGGTCCTCCTCTCGACGGTGGAGTTATCACTGGTGGTGGGGGGTTCCAGCAGCAGCAGCAGCCGACTTCTCAGCAGCTGCCACAGCTTGGACAGCAGCAGCAGCAGGGACCGCAGCAGCAGCGACAGGGCCAGCAGCAGCGCCCACCGCAGCAGCAGCCTCAGCAGTGGGGGCCTCCGCAGCAGTGGGGCCCTCAGCAGCAGTGGAGGTCTGTGGGTCCCCCGAGCACTGGGCGCAGTGCCCCCCCCTCCAGTCGGGGACCTCGCTCGGCCGGCCGCGACGTTGGTCCCTGTGAGTACTGGATCCTTACGGGTCCTCGACGGGACTCGTACTGTGGCCGCCCCGACCACTCTGCTGCACGCTGCTTCAGTCGTCTCGACGACCTCTACCGTTTGCACCACGGCCCCTCTGCTCCCCCGCCGCCACGCTGGGGGACGCTTCTTGCTCGTGGCATTGCTGTTTTTGATATGACTATGGATGATGCTAGGTCTTATGCCATGTATGCTGATGTTGACTATAGTGCTCCTGGATCTGTGTACTTGCCTGTTGCTAGAGTAGGTGCCAGTGTAGGATCTTGTTTAGCTACTAGTACAGGTACTCCCTCGGCGGACGCGTCTCTCTCCTTCACACTGGACTCAGGAGCGTCGCACTGCTTCTTCCGCGACTGCACGACTCTCTCTCCGCTACCGGCACCTGTCCCTGTAGCACTGGCCGATCCCTCCTCGGGACCGGTCATTGCGACTCACGCCACTACACTCCCGTGCCCAGCTGCTCCTTCTGGTTCCCTGACCGGCCTCCACGTTCCTACGTTCTCTAGGAACCTGGTTGGTGTGGGCACCCTGGCGAGACAGCACGTCGGGGTCTGGGTTGAGCCTTCTGGTGACACCGCAGTCTGCGTCGACGGTGACACGTACGCCCCCTTGGCCACTTTCCGCCAGGAGCCGGGCTCTGGTCTGTACACCCTCCGCACCGACCCCCGTCAGGTTCCCCCGTCCCACCAGGTAGCCGGGTCCAGTCAGGTTGCTGTGTCAGGTGTAGTTGCTGCGTCGTGCTCGTGTCGGTCGCTTGCCCACCCCACCGTTCTGTGGCACCACCGGATGGGGCACCCGTCCCTTCCTCGTCTGCGCGCCATGTCCAGTCAGCGTCTTGTCTTAGGCCTCCCCCGAGTCCTCCCACCACTCCCGCCGTCCCCAGCTCCTCCGTGTGGTCCTTGTGTCCAGGGTCGGCTTCGCGCCACCCCCCACTCCTCCTCCCTTCGTCCGGCCACCGAGCCCTTCCAGACACTCCACTTAGACGTCTGGGGCCCCGCCTCCCGCCTTGGCCCTGAGCGGGAGAGTTTCTTTCTGGTGGTCGTTGACGATTACTCTCGGTACACCACCGTGTTCCCCTTGGCGAAGAAGTCCGACGTGACTTCTACGCTGATCCGGTGGCTCCTCGCCACCGAGGGCACTCGTGGTCGTCGTGTCAGTTGTCTCCACTCCGACCGTGGGGGTGAGTTTCGCTCCGGCATTCTCGCCAGTTTCTGTGCTGAGCAGGGCATCACCCAGTCCTGGACTCTCCCAGACTCTCCACAGCAGAATGGGGTTGCTGAGCGCCGCTTAGGCCTGGTCATGGAGATCGCCCGCACCTCCATGATCCACGCCCGCGCGCCCCATTTTCTGTGGCCCTACGCGGCTCGGTACGCCGCTCACCAGCTGAACCTCTGGCCTCGCGTCTCTCGGCCAGGGGCTTCACCGACCAGTCTTTGGACAGGGTCCCCTGGTATTGCGTCGAGGTTTCGTGTCTGGAGCACCTTGGCTCTTGTCCGCGACACCTCTGCGGACAAGATCTCGCCTCGCGCCATCCCCTGTGTCTTCCTTGGTTTCCCAGAGGACTCCTCTGACTTCACATTTTACCACCCTCCCTCCCACCGCTCTCGTGACGTCCGTTTCGACGAGTCTGTCCCCTACTACGTCCGGTACCCCTGTCGAGGTCTCCCGGTTCCCCCCCCTCCCCTCTTCCTGGCTCCAGCTCCTCCTCCTCCCGCCCCTGCTCCTCCGGTACCCCCCCCTGGTCCTGCTCCGTCTGGTGTGTCCCACGCTACTCCCCCCCCCTCGGTACCCCCCCAGGTCTCTCCTCCTTCCCCACAGTCGTCCTCACAGCCTCCGCAGCAGCCGTCAGCGCTTCCTTTACCGGCCACTGCGGACTCTGAGGGTGTTGGTGCTCGGGGTGAGGGCTCTGGCGGTGCTCGCTCTGGGGGTGCTGGCGTTGGAGCTGTTCGTGCACCTACAGGAGCCGCCCGTTCTGGGGGTGTTGGCGTTGGCGCTGAGCGTGCACCTGCCGCGGCTGCCCGTTCCGAGGGTGCTGGAGCTGGTGGTGTTTCTGGAGCTGGAGAGTCTGAGGCTGGTGCTGGTGCCACTGGAGGCACCCCGACTGGGGGTGCGGGTCCACCTCCTACAGGTGCTAGTCGTGCTGCCGCAGGGGGTACACGCTCTGGGGGTTCTCAGCCGGGTGCTGTCGAGGGCGGAGCCGGTTCTTCTTCTTCGTCTCCTGACACCACTCCTCCTCCTCACCCCTACCTGACTCGACACCAGACCCGTCTTCGTCTTGAGCGTGAGGAGCAGCAGCGTTTGGAGCGTGAGAGGTTGGAGGTTCAGCAGCGGGTGGAGCGTGAGAGGCTGGAGTTGCAGCGGGAGCAGCAGCAGCAGCAGCAGTAGCAGCAGCAGCCGGAGCAGCCTCCGGCCTCTGTTACTGGCCTTCGGGCCCTTGGTCTCCCCTCCTCCTCTCCTCCTGTGTTCGGTCCGACGTTTCCTCCTCCGGACTCAGCTCCGGCTGTGTTCCCTCGTTCTCAGTCTCCTCCGTCTCCCGCTCCGTCTCCCACTCCTCTCTCCCACACTTGGGCCTCTCGTCCTCCTCGTGCTCGTCCCTCGTCACCTGTCCGTGACCTTCGTACCGTGTTGTTTCGTCCTAGTCCTCCTCGTTCTCCTCCGTCTGTTCTTCCTCGTCCTCCTGAGTCGTCCCTCACTGCCTCCCTGTCCACTCCGGTCACTGACTACTACCGCACGTACCGCCCCACTCTCTCTCGTGTTCTCGCCTCTCTTGTTACAGACCCTCGTGCCTCTCCTTCCTCCGTCGCGGTCCTCACTGCCGCTGTCACAGACTTTACTGCTACGCGTCGCCTTGACTACGCCACTCGCGTTGTGGCGGCTCCTCCTGTCCGTCCTCTGTCCGCCGGGGGTGAGTCTGCCCTTGGCTGTGCCGTCCTAGAGGATAGACAGTTTGAGCTAGAGTTCCTGGCAGCTGCTTCACCTCATCTCTGTGCCATGCTGCTCGCTCCTGAGGGAGACCCCGACGCTCCTGACATACCTACTCCTCGCTGCCATGGACGCAGAGATGGCCTCCTACAGGTCCACAGGCACTTACGTTGACGAGGTTCCCCCCCCAGGGGCGAACATTGTTGACGGCATGTGGATCTTCAAGGTGAAGCGGCCGCCGGGATCTCCTCCAGTCTTCAAGGCACGCTACGTGGCTAGAGGTTTCAGTCAGCGTGAGGGAGTTGACTTCTTTCAGACCTTTGCGCCCACCCCGAAGATGACCACTCTTCGGGTGTTACTGCACGTAGCAGCGCAGAGAGACTACGAGCTACACTCTCTCGACTTCTCCACTGCCTTCTTGCAGGGCAGCCTACACGAGGAGATCTGGCTGCGTCGTCCTCCGGGCTTCACTGGCACTTTCCCGCCTGGGACCCAGTGGAGCCTCAGACGACCGGTCTACGGTCTCCGCCAGGCACCCCGTGAGTGGCACGACACTCTTCGCTCTACTCTGTCCGACCTTGGGTTTGAGCCGTCTTCCGCCGACCCGTCGCTGTTTGTTCGTCGTGGGCGCACACCTTTCTTTGTTCTTGTCTACGTTGACGACCTGGTTTTTGCCACAGCCGACACAGTCGCACTGGCGGAGGTGAAGTCCGAACTGCAGAAGAGACACACCTGCACTGACCTTGGGGAACTGCGCCGCTACCTTGGAGCGCAGATCTCCAGGGACAGAGCCGCTCGCACCATCACTCTGACTCAGTCACACATGGTGCAGCAGGTCCTTCAGCGGTTCGGGCTTCAGCACTCCTCTCCTACACCCACCCCTCTTGCTGTAGACCACAGACTCACTGGGCCTTTTCCTGACGAGCCGTTCGAGCCCAGTGGTCCCTACGCAGAGTTGGTGGGCTGCCTCATGTACCTGATGACGTGCACTCGCCCGGACCTCGCCTTCCCTCTTAGCATCCTTTCTCGCTTTGTTGCGACAGGGAGACACCGTCCTGTTCACTGGGCGGCGGCTAAGAGGGTGGCGAAGTACTTCGGCGCGACATTAGACATGGAGCATGTACTTGGAGGGACACAGCCAGTTGTACTCACCGGTCACTGCGACTCCTCCTACGCCGACGACGTTGAGTCACAGAGGTCTACACAGGGTTACTGTTTCAGCCTGGGCTCTGGAGCTGTTTCGTGGAGGTCTACTCGGTCCTCCTCTGTTGCGACTTCTACCGCAGAGGCCGAGATCTACGCTGGAGCCCTCGCTGCACAGGAGCTACGCTGGTTGACCTTCTTGCTCACTGACCTTGGTGAGCGGCCGAGCTCTGCACCGACCTTGTTTGCTGACAACAAGGCGATGATTCTCCTGTGTCATGAGCCTCGACTGGAGAGCAGGGTGAAGCATATCGACGTCAGGTACTTCCTCCTTCGAGAGTTGCAGAGACGTGGACAGGCACGTCTGGACTTCGTGGCCTCCGAGGCCAACACTGCAGACATCTTCACCAAGGCTCTTCAGCCTTGTGACCACCGCCGGTTTTGTCTGCAGTTAGGCCTTGTTGAGACTGGGTCTAGTAGACTGCAGTAGTGAGTTCTTGCCTCTTGCTTGTTTGTACCATATATATATTAGCTTGTACACTCTTGAACTGGCCTTGTGGCCCCTAATTTGTGCTCAGAATGTGTGGTGACGTTGAGATCCACCCTGAGCTTTGTTTTCTCGCTTGCTTGTGACTGGTCTTGTGACCTTAGGTTGTGTTCTGTTACTTGGCATTCCCCACTTAGGCTATGGGGGTGTGTCAAATGTTATAGCCCTTAGTGGGTCATACTATATGGGGTACAAACAGATAGGGTTAGGTACTTGTACCCCAACTCAATCAATGCAATCCATTCCGCTATTCTCAGTTACTAAGACTAAGTGTCAAACATTTCCACCGCACTGCATCTCTTCGTTTGAGACGCGAGGCCTTTGTGACGCGCGTCAGGAATGTACCCTTAGAAAGTTGCTGCCGTTTGAATGTTCGCCTAACCTATTTTTTGGGTATTTGTAGAAAGTCTATAGGGTCCTATATATGGGGCAATACCGTACGTACCATACCGGCATTAAGAAACCGGGACGATTTTGGGATGAATCTGACTATATGTCTTTTTGAGTTGCATCCGTTCCCGATGAGGTTAAAAAAAGGCCCGTACTGATAATTCGTGAAATTAATTTGTATTATGTTTGAAAGTATCCTTCTCAAGTAATATTTGGACAACCTTCTAAATGTCTTATTATATGGACCCAATGTTCTACTGTACCTAGATATGTTTGATGATGTGAGGTTTGGTTTGATGTGTGTCCTCTAATTGTTCTTGCCAGATCATACCAGCCGTCTCCATGTGACTGGCTACAGAAGTTGTGACACGGAAGTGCTGATGTCCCCATTGGGACCCCGTTGTCCATGTTGCAGATATGACGACAGGTGCACGTCTGTCGTTCGACGCCGAGTTTCCGGAGGGATAAAATTGCTCACGCAGCAGAAGCTGATCTGTACACGTGTCGCATCATCCTGGTCTCTCAGGAAGCTGAACCTCCGCGTTCGACGCTCAAGCACGGCCGCATTCCACGGGTTTCTTTGAGTTCCGGTTTGTGCATTCTTGCCTTTCCGTTGGTGCACTCTGCCCAACGCGATATGCTAGCGACAAGTGCGGCTGTCCACCCTTGGCTCTCTCTGGTTGGCTGGCGCTGCCGTCGGCTTCTAGCCGGCTCCCAAAACGTGCTCACACGCACACACCAGCTTCCCAGTCAGCATATATCATCTGATGTACCTCCAGATGATATAAGAATTTGTTATGCTGACTGGGAATTTATATCATCTGATGTATCCCATATAAAAAAAGAATTTCCTACACTTGCTGGGCAGATATCGTTAAGTGCATCAAAGATCAAGTTTTGTGGAAACTGCCCTCGACGAGGGCACAGATACTGACCCTCGACGAGACTGTGGAAACTGCCCTAGCCTTGTTCAATAACTGTTTGACTCTGAAGTGACTGGATCGACCAGTCACATCAGTCCCTCCCAAGCTTGTCAGCTCAGCACTGTTGGTTTTCCCCTTCTGCACCGCAGAAGGAAACATCAGTTGGATAGGCAGAATTTGTCTACACCTTACCTCCGCCAAGGGGGGTGAGGCGACAACGCCATGTCCCCCAAGCCCCATCCCAGCCTTGTGCGGAAAATATTCGATGATGCCCCGGTGTTTCCAGTCGCCGACTTAACCGAACCAGACCCGAACCTGCCTCGAGTCAAATCCCCATCTCTTTCCAGCTCACACCCCTATCGAAGCCGAGTGCTCTTACGCCATCTGTCGATCTCCTCACCTAGCCAAGGTTATCGCGTCACATCCGTGTCGAGCCTCTCCCATGCCACCCACCCAAACCACACATGGTGCCCAGCAGAATCATCCTCACCCCCCTCGTATGATCCCATCCCAGCCACCTCGGCTCTCTCTGCTGAGGCGCTGATAAAGGGACGGTTGTTACACACACAGCACATGTAATGTCGTGGCCCGGGAATTCGCGCCTCATTGGCACTTTTTCTGTTCCCGTTCCTCCGCCCCCCCTCTCACGTGACCAAATTCACCTTTCTGGAAAAAGTTGCCATTGATCACCTGTGGAGCTTCTGCTCTCCAGAAGAACAAGGCTACCACCCTCTTTCCGTCTTTGTGGAATCCCGCCCTTTCGTTTCGTTTATACACATTTCCAACGGATCGCGCAGCTCATCTCCAGTCGGATCTGGCTTGTTCGGGTTGTTGCACCATCAGATTCCACAAATACCTGCTCCCTTTCTTGGCGCGAATCGCTGCTGAACTGCTGCCGTTGCAGAACGTCGCAAAGCGAATTCACCCAATACTATGCCCCTGCGACGATCTGCCGCTGTTACACCTCCGCAAAAGAAGTTCGCCTTCTGACTTCCAAGTATTTCCACGCGAGAAGATTGCAAAAAAGATTTGTAAAAGAAGTTCGCCTTCTGACTTCCAAGTATTTCCACGCGAGAAGATTGCCAAAAAGACTCGTAACAGAAGTTCGCCTTCTATTATGGCCCTTCAGTTTATGCCAATGGACATACCGGCTACAGCAAGGGAGCCCTCCGTGTTTCGCGCTGCCGAGCTCGCCCCCATGACACCTGGCGGAAAAGCCCCTTCGACCAGCCCCGCATTTCCGCCCAAGGCCAAATTTCGTGGCGGAAACCCCAACTCGGCGGCGAAGAATCACCAAGCTTCGCGAAGCTCGCCGAAATTCGCGAATCTGCAGCCACCAGCGTGCGGATTTTCGGACGACTCTGGCGATGGACAGAAGCCAGAAGTCGACGACCCTCAATGTCGCCAAGTCAATATCTTTCCGCCAACTACGCTCGCCTCGAACGCCGCGGCGCTTAGCACACCCAAAAAATGCGGCGGCAGAGGCGGCGGCAGAGGCCGCGGGAAAGGAAAAGGCGGAGAGTGTTTTTCCCAGTCAAGCGGAGCAAGCGGGGTCGAGATTGCGGGGAATGCGCACGCGGTCTTCACCCAGTCCCCCGCGATTCAACCGCGCTGCTTCCCGCCGACGCTTAGCATCCCGCCGCCCCCGCAGCTGTTTCCCCCCGGCTCCCCTTCCGCGGCTGGCGGAGCCCCGCACCTGCAGGCGCCCGGCACCCCCTGCGCGGGGATGGTCCGCGCGCCTTCCCACCGCTTCCCCGCGTCGTCGACCGTCAACACCGCGGTCAGCGGGGGGAGCGGGTGGAGCGGCGGTGGCGGCGGAGCGCAACCGGCGGAGAATATGAAGCGGAAGCGCCCGCGGTTCGCGGAGGATCAGCTGGCGCATTTGGAGGCGCATTTCGCGGTGGAGCAGGAGCTGACGCCGGCGAGCAAGAAGCAGCTGGCGGCGCGGCTCGGCGTGAAGCCTCGGCAGGTGTGCGTGTGGTTCCAGAACCGCAAAGTGCGGCAGAGAACGCGGGAACGCGAGACGGAGCTGGAGAGCATGCAAGCCGCGTACGCGAAGCTTCAGGCGACGTGCCGCGAGCTGCAAGACGACTACGAGCTTCTGAAATCGGACTACCAGGAGTTGCTGCTGCAGAACACGCAGCTCTTCGACATGGTGAGTTGCTCGTGGGTGCGCGTGGGTGCTGGATTCAGGAAGTGGACGGTCGGGATGGAAAATGCAGATATAATGGTGCTGATGCACCCAGCCTCTCCTGTGACGAACCGTGTTAGCTCGCACTTTAAGCGTGACACGAACTCTAACGAATCTCCTTGTATCGCATTTGTTTTCGTCCTTCCAGATGCAGGAAATCGAGCAACAGCTGGGGAACCCGCAGCTTCCGCCCGGCGAGCACCCCGTCACGTCGCGATTCAACGACACCTCCACCCCGGACAACCAGCTTGGCGGCTATGCACAGTCGGACCGCGGCGGGCAGTCGAACCAATCCGAGGACGAAGTGGAGATTCCTTCTGCCCGGGTCCAGCCCCTTCATCAGCAGCAGCAGCAGCGGCGGCAGCGGCAGCAGCAACTCGCTGCTGGTCGTCGTGAAAAGGACATGCAGCAGCAGCAGCTTGCGGCGGCGGCGGCGGCGCCAGCGGGTGAAGCGGAGGAGGAGGAAGAGGACGACGAGGAGGACGAGGAGGAGGACGACGAGAAGGTGGAAGAACCTGGGCCGTGCGCTTCGGCCCCCAACAAGCAGCAAGCCGAGCCGCTCCTCGGGAACACGAGAACCTGCTTTCCAACGCAGGAGTTCTACCCTGCAGCGGCCGGGGAGGTTTCCAGTTTTACCCCTGCCCCTCCTTCTGGTAACCAGTTCAACATCTACGTCAAGAATCAAGCCAATCAGGGCAAACCCCCTTCGTACGAGAGCAACTCGCCTGATTCGTCCTTGGACGAAATCGGCGGCGCGCCTTTCGCGCTTCCCCCTCCCGCCTTCCCCATGGGCGTTGCGCCCACTTCAGCATCCCCCGTGCTCTTTGAGCCCCTCGCAGCTTTCGCCAACGCTGGTAACCGCGTGGGGGAATCTGAGCACTTCGTCGCTCCCTCCAACCAGCAGCAGGGTCCCGATCTCTATGACCTCTATTCCCAAGCTCCCGCTGGCGGTGGTGGCGGCGCCGGCTTTTTGGACAGCTGGATGGACGGCGACGCGACCGGGATGCAGCAATCTGCCGGCTTACCGTTCGGCCTGACGGCAAAGGCTCCGGCGGAAGCGGAGGCGGAGGATGGGGAGAGTGATTCCGAGGCTGCGAGGAGAACAGCAGTGTATGGCGGGAGACATGCGGCTGAGACCTACGCTGCGTTTGCTCCAAGCGGCGAGCTCGTTGAGAATAGCTTGCCTCTTGACGGGTTCCCCTCGTGGAATGGGGGCCTGCCGCAGGCGTGTATGGAAGGCGCGGGAGAGGCGGAACGGCGATGCGCTGGTGCGGAATGCGCGGGCGCAGCGGAGGATATGAGCGGAAACATGAGGGTGAACCAGGAACCGTTTGATCTTCTGGGAAGCATGGAGGGCGCGATGGGAGCGATGGGGTGTGTAGAGGATGGCGGCGTGGGTCACGCTGACGCGGGCGCTGGTGTTGCTGCTGCTGACGACATGGCTAGCATGTGCGGGTTTGACATGCACGCTTATGCGGCTTTCTGAAGCGGTTCTTTTTTCGCGCGCCGCGTTTCTGCATTTATGAGGCGGCGCTCTGTAGCACGTGCGCTTGCGGCTTTACGGAGGCGACAAGGCAAGGACAGCCACGACGGAGTGTGGGAAGCGAACCGTGCGTTCACGTCCCGCACAGACGCCAACACGGCGGGAGCAGGGAGGGCGGAGTGCGACGCACGCGAATTCATGCGACGTCACGAGGAAGTCGAACAGTCTCGTGTACCAGTCCGCAACACGCGACGTGGACGTCAACTACTCGTTCACGCTGGACACACACTGATGCGGGAGGCTTATCTAGCGGGGAAAAAATTGCATTCGTGGGTCGTATTCCCAGCACTAAACCTGGTTACCTCTGGGTTCTGGTAACTGTGCGATAGTTTCGGACAAACTCGCCAAGCTTTGTTAAATAACCTGAAATAAATTACCTCTACAGAGGAACACAGCTTTCCTTAGCTATGGTGAGGTATTTCCATATGTTTGGCTTGCTTACTCTAGTTTGCTAGTGAGTTGCTCCTTGAACTGTATTTCTGTGTTGTAACTTTATTTGCACTCTGGTTTGCATTGTTACTCACCTTAAAAAGGCTGATTTAGGTGAAAAAGGCTGAGATTTCTGACCTTTTTTAGAACTGAGGCTGATTTTCCAGCAATTTGTTGGAAAGAAACAGGAAATTTGATTAGTTTTGTAGTGTAAAATTGCATAAAATGGTTAATTTGTCTGATTTTCAGCAAATCTGTTTGTACCAACTCTGATTCGTCCGCCTAGGCCGAAACGAATCTGAGGCCCTGGCATACGGTACCGTAAAAGTTAGACACCTTCAAAATATCTGATGAAGGGATGGTGGGCATCGCAATAAGGTGCGTGATCAACGGCTGTGATAAAAGAAATGGGACTGTAAACAATGTGCTGTTGCCCTAGTTCGAACGCATGAAAAAAAACAAGGATTTTGAATGGGATCGACAAATGCACTGGTGAAGGTTGGGCATTATGTCTAGCTGTTCAAAAGAACTTGTGACTTCATTCCCAACCCCAACCCCATCTTTTGCATCCTTGCACTCAGTGACTGAAATTTCTAGCAACCTTCTGTAATCCCCTCTGCTTCGACAGGTACAGCTTATACCGCCTGCACCTGCTGCTCCTACTCCCCGCACTCCCAGCAAGAGAACTATTTTTCTGCCCAGAGGCATAATTTCCACCACCATAGCCACCAGCAGCACCGCAGCCAGCAGCAGCCAAGGAAAGTGTGCCCGAGGCTTGGCGCTTAGTTAAAAGGCCAGGTGGCAGCTCTTTTTTCAGCAGGATGCAGAAACAGCGCCTGAACTTGGCCTGGGTGTGTGTGATGGTGGGGAGGGTGGCATCATCAGCCACGTCCAGCTCCTGTGCGTGTGGGGTTACATGGGGTTGGATGAGATTGAAAGGACTTGAGTGGAGAATAGCAGGGTACTTATGTGAAGCATGAGAGTGTGCATGTGGTATCATCAGCCATGTCCAGCTCCTGTGCTTGCGTGTGTGTGGGGGGGGGGGGGGGGGAAATAAGATGGCGTTAAAGTGGAGAATTGAGGGGCTTAGATGCAAAAGACGCAGATCAGACGCTGCGTCCTACGTCTGGACGCAGCGTCTAGACGCTAGGACGCAGGACGCACGCGGAATTTTTTTCAGGCTGCCCGAAAAAAATCCCGACTCCAAAATTTACATTCGCGATTTCGACGCGACTGTCGAAATCGCGAAATTTCGACCCCCTAAGGCCAAATCGCCATTCTAAAACAACCCCCCCAACATTTCATAACCCCCTCAAATAAAATTGAAAATGTCAAACCTCTTCACCACTCCACATCTACAAAACCCAACCTTAGTGGCCCACCACCAAGCCCAATTAGCAATCCAACCAAATCTATTTGTGCTTTCCCTTCTACAACCCATCCACCCAATTCTCTTTCGTAAACCCTTGGGGCTTTAGGTTAGTAGCCTAACTCCGTTCCGTTATGGCTTCCTCAAGCAACCCTTCCTCTTCCACCGCATCTAAGAATGTTGTTGGGGAAAATTTTGCCTTGAAAGTGTGTGGAAGGTGCCCCCCCCCCCTGCCCATGCCCTATACCAAGTTTTTTTGCCTGCCCAAAAGTTTTTTTACCCTGCCCGGGCTTGCGTCCTTTGGTGCGTCCTAGGCGTCCAAGGACAGCGTCCTGCGTCTGGACGCATGCGTCCTAGTCGCAGGACACGTCTTTTGCAACTAAGTTGCGGGGTACTGGTGTGAAGCATGAGTGTGTGCATGGGTGTGGCACGCAGCAACACCTGAACCCACCTTTCAGAAGAGACAAAATAGGTGACCTAGACCCACCCACCGCAATGGGTTGAATGAATTGGTGATTTGATCTGACTTGCAATATACACCCTTTTTTAGGATGGGTGAGATGACCTGACGTGTGATGCACACCAAGAAGAAGCAGCTCACACTTACCTGAAAGAGATGCTTAATCTGCTTCAGCAGTGGAACCAGGTTTGCAGTTTCCGGGACAGTTGCAACAGCAGTTGCAGCCGAAGCGGCACGCGTTGGGGTGTAGAAAGCAGCATGGGCAGCATCGATCAGAACAAGAAGTGCCTCTTGAATCTGGCGACGCAGGCCAAAGGCTAAAAGCACATTGCTTCTGTGGGGGTGAGAAGGAATAGGGAGGGATAAGAGTACATTGTTCATTGCTCCTGGAAGGGTGAGAAGGAAGCGTAAGAGAGACGCGAGTAACAGAGGTGAGCAGCGTGCGTTGGGGCGTAGAAAGCAGCAGCATGAGCGCCGTCCATGGGAAGAAGAAGCTTGTAAAAACGGTGAGAAGGAAGCGTATGAGAGGGACGAGAGTAACGGGGGTGAGTTGAAAGAGACCAGGCATAAGAGGGGGGAAGTAGTACGGGTGAAAATGTGACGGGCAGAAAAAGAATGGATGGAAACATGAGAAGATGGGTGGAAATTGGGTAGAATTGCATTACCTGAAGCTGATGACGCCCTTGTCGTAGACTGTCGGTGTGGCTGAGTGATGGTTCGACCTGGCGAGAGAGGGGAGGAAGGAGGATTGGAGCGGGGGAGCATGGGGGAAGGAGGGAAGGGGGGGTGGTTCGAGGGGTTAAAATAATGTAAACTGCGTTGCCTGAAGCTGAAAAAAACCACAATTTTTGAGGCGCCTAAAAAATCGCCTCAAAATTTGAGGCGCCTCGAAAATCGCCTCAAATTTTGAGGCGCCTCGAAAACCGCCTCAAAATTTTGAGGCGCCTCAAATATTGCCTGAAGCTGATAACCCCCTTGTCATAGTCTGTCGGTGTGGCGGAGTGATGGTTCGACCTGGCAAGAAAACGAGGAAAGGGTTGCAGGAGTGGGGGGGAGAGAGGGAGAGGGGAATAATAATAATAATAATAATAATAATAATATAATAATAATAATAATAAACACTGGAAGAAAACAAAAGGAGAGGAAAAACAAAACAAAAGACATTCCACCTCACCTCAACACCCCTCACCTGGCGCGTTCAATCATCACTTTAAACTGCAGGTTGGGGAAATGCAACGCCACCAGCTTGAGTAGAGGTGTGCGGCCTGCCCTACCCCACCTCACCTCACCACACCACACCGCACCTCACCTCACCGCATCTCACCTGGCGCGTTCAATCATGACTTCAAACTGCAGGTTGGGGCAATGCAACGCCACCAGCTTCAGCCACCGCCGGTACACCCCCCACCGCTGCAGCAACCTCAGCCACAACCCCACTGCTGCTCCCAGCTTCGAATGTGACTCGCCCAGTGCTGAACCAGACCCCCTCCGTTCCTCTTGTAAACGCGCTGCTGGTCCTGCCCTCAGCTTCCCTCCATCCCTCTGCGCCTTGCTAGGCGCTCTGAGTTCACTATCCGCGTTACTAGCTGCTCCAGTACTTGCAACAGCAGCAGGAGCTACACCCTGCACACCCACATCATCCACATCACCCTGACTCACTTCCTTCCCTTTCACGTCAGCACTCCTCCCCGTCTCGTGCTCCAATCCAGTCAGACATTCTGATTCTTTCCTCATCCTCGTGCATCTTCCATCTCTCCCACCCTTCTCGTCCTTCACTCCCTTTCCCTCCCCCCCTCCTCCCCGCTTCCTCTTCCCCCCCACCAGCAATCGACCCACTTTCTCTGCATCCTCAATTGCCCACTCTCTATCCCATTCCTCCCACTCCTCCTCCTTCCTTACTTCCTCTCCTCCATTCCCACCTCCCTCCCCTTCTCCTTTTTCCCTCCCTTCTCCTCTTTCCTCCCCTCCTCCTCCTCCTCCTCCTCCTCCTCCTCCTCCTCCTCCTCCTCCTCCTCCTCCTCCTCCTCCTCCTCCTCCTCTTCCTCCTCCTCCTCCTCCTCTTCCTCCTCTCCCCCCTCCTCCTCCCTCTCCTCCTGCCAATGCTCCGTCAAATCTGCCAAGAACTCCTTCATACCTCTCTACACCCCTCTCTACAACCTTCTCCTCCTCCTTGCTCCTCCCGTCTCTCTTCTCTACCCACTCTCCTTCTCTCCACTCATCTCCCTCCCTACCTATCCCCAAGGAACCCTTCTTTTCCACCCTCATCCCATCCGCTTCCCCATACCCATCCTCACACCTGTCCTCTTTCCTCTCTCCTCCCCATCCATTCCCCACCTCCCAAGCAATCCTATCCGCCCGACTCCCAAACACCAACGCGAGCCCCTCATAAGCCACTGCCCAGTTGAAGCTAGTAAGCTTTTTAACTGCCCGCCTCACCGCATCAGAATCATGTGCTTGCACTGTAGCTAGGTCCAATTCATCCTCCTCCTGCGCTGCTGCTGTATCTCCCTCTCTTTCATCTGACTGCTCCCCTCTCTCATCCGTGTCTTCCCCCTCTTCCTCTTCGTCCTCCTCCTCCTCCTCCACTTCTTCCTCTTCCTCCTCTTCTTCCTCCTCTAAACCCTCCCTTTCCTCTCGCCCCTCCACCTCCTCTCCATCTTTCGCACTGCCACCAGCAGGAAGGGGCGCAAAGGGCAGCAGCGACAGCAGGGGATAGGCCAACAGTGCCTCCGCCAGAAGGGACGCTGCTGCTGCTGCTGCCTCGCCTGCTGCCTCTTCTGCTACTGCCTGTGAGAAATTCACTGCTGCTGCTGCTGTGCCTGCTTCGTTTGCCTCTACCTCTGCTGCTTCTGCTTCTGCTTCTGCTTCTACCTCTGCCTCTGCTTCTGCTTCTACCTCTGCCTCTGCCTCTGCTTCTGCTTCTGCTTCTGCTTCTGCTTCTGCTTCTGCTTCTGCTGGTGTTGCTGCCGCTGTCGCTGCCGCCTCGCCTGCCGCCTCTTCTGCTACTGCCTGTGAGAAATTCACTGCTGCTGCTGCTGTGCCTGCTTCGTTTGCTTCTGCATCCGCCTCTGCCTTTGCCTCTGCTAAGTTCGATACTGGTGCTTCTGCTACTGTTTGTGAGAAATGCACTCCTGCTGCTGTACTTGCTGTATTTGCCTCTGCTTCTGCTGTATTTTCTGCCGCTGCTGCCGCTGCTGCCTCGCATGCTGCCTCTTCTGCTACTGTTTCTGAGAAATGCACAGCTGCTGCTGCTGCTGTGCCTGGTGTTGCGGTGTTGCTGCTGCTGTAGCTGCTGCTGCTGCTGTTGAAGCCACATTTGAGCGACCTGCACAAACTGCTTCTAACTGTGACTCTGTTGCTGCTTCCCGTGCTGCCACATCCCATGGTGCAGAATCTGAACGCCTCTCATTTCTCTTCCTTTCCCCTCTCCCTATACAACCCTTGCTTACACTCCGACTCACTCTCATTTTCTCACCAACCCTTCCTCTGCCCCTGTTCCTTCCACTCCCATTTTCCTCCTCTCCGTCACACTCCCTCCCACTCCCAACCACCCTTCTCCTCCTCCTCCTCCCTTCCCTATTTTTCCCAGCTGCTCGTTTCACTACCGTCCGCTGCTGGTGCTGCTGCTGATTATCCCCTACACGATCCTTTCCCCCTAACTGCCCATGCTGCTGCTGCTTATTCTTCTCCTCCCCCCACCACCTATCCATTTCATCATGCCACCATCGGTCCAGGGTGGATTGCAGAAAATCAAAGGCAGGTGACAGCACTGGTAGCTTCTCCCGTATGCGTGAGGACAAGATGAGGGACTTGAAGAGAGATTGCCTGTAAGGGGGAGACAAAAACGAATATGAAACCGCTGCTGATTACGCCCCCCATGTGACAGCACTGGTAGCTTCTCCCGTATGCGCGACGATAGGACGAGAGACTTGAAGAGATTGTGCCTGTAGGGGAGACAAAAAAAAAAAAAAAAAAAAAAAAAAAAAAAAGGGTTGCTGGTGGTTAGTAATGCTTCTCCAACTACCATCGCTTCACCACCTGTCCATCTCATCATGCCACCACCAATCCAGAATGGATTGCAGAAAGTCAAACGCGGGTGACAGCACTGGTAGCTTTTCTCGTATGCGAGACAACAGAACGAGAGACTTGAAGAGAGATTGCCTGTGATGGAGAATATAATAATGAAGGCGTGGTTTGCAGAAAGCCAAGAGCAGGTGAGTGAGAGCAGACTGAGAGCTTCTCTTTCCATGCACTCCCCACCCCCCACATCAGTGCTCGTCGTCTGACCACTTACATGGGAATCTGTGTCTGCTGTTGTTGCTGCAGCAGCAACAGGTGTTGCTGCCACCATGCATCGCCTGCTCCACCTTCCACTGTGCACTCCCCATCCCCCACACCGTTGCTTATCGCCTGCCCGCTTATCGCCTGCCCGCTTATCGCCTGCCCGCTTATCGCCTGCCCGCCTATCGCCTGACCACTTATCACAGCCCCCAAGCCTGCAAACGTCTTGCGTGCCCGGGGCAACTTAATGTCGCCCTGTCTGCTTGCCTCTGCTGCTGCTGCCGCCCAAATTTCATCTCTGTCTAGTTGATTTCGTACGGTTTTTGATGTAACCCTGGGACAGATGAGAGGAGGGGGAAGTGCGAGGGTGCGTAACATGGCTAAGCGTGGAGAATCAGGTCTGGAGGCTGCCTGAACATCCTGTGTGCTTACCTATTGTGAGCTCAACTGTCCGGTGGATCGACTTATATATACTCGGGAAATTCTCAACCCAAGCGGCACTTGGCGCTTAGCTAATTGTGCACTTTAAGTGCCTTGTTGTAAGCTGAAAAGAAAAAAAGAGCTTGAAACGCTTACCTGAGTGTACATAAGTCTCGCCAGGACACCCTTGAACAGAGCATGGTCAAAATCTCCTGAGGCAAAGCGAGGGAACGGAACCCTGTCCCCTGCATGCCGTGCCTTGTTGTAAGTCAACAAAATGTTTGCTCAGGAGCTTACCTAAGTGTGCATAAGTCTCGCCAGGACACTCTTGAACAGAGCATGGTCAAAATTTCCTGAGGCAGGGAGAGGAACGGCACCCTGTCCCCTAGCTCTACACCCATCCACACTCGCTCCCTCTCCTCCTTTTCCTCCCTCTCCTCCCTCTGCTCTCTCTCGTCTGCCTCTTCTCTCTCCCTTTCATCCTCCAAATCTTGACGATTCTCTCCCTCTCTCCCCTCCTGTCCAGGTTTATTTCTCCTCTTTCGCTTCTCTCCCCTTCGATTCTTTTCTCCCCTCCGCCCTCCGCTCGTGCTGTCCACCACGACCGTCGATTCCTTCGCCCGGCTGATCTCGACCGCCCATCCTGGAAACGCGAAGGAGATCTTCGGACGGTCTAGATTCGCGGAGGAGACGTCAAGTGACGCGGGAAACGCCGAATCTGAAAGGAAGGGCTTTGTTACTGCTGCTGCAGTGGGATTTTCTATAGCTGTAGAACCAGAGTGGAATGCCCTGGATTTACTCTTAGCAGGAGCGATGAAGGCTGGCGTATCCTGCAAGCAACGTTGAGATTCAAGCTCGGTCAAGGCGTATGTTTCGTGAGGCGGGATCTCAGCCGCAATTGGGTCACTGACAGCGGCCGGACTGACTTTCTCGGCGGCCAGCTTTTCGCGACAGTGCTCCTGGAACGAAGTTTCTAAGAGATCGTCCAACGCGTCGTCGTCGTTTTCGTCGTCGTCGCCGTCTTCGCGAATGTCGCACACGTTGTCGCCGTTCGCGAGATCTGCGAAACCGGAATCGTAATCGTCTCGTCCTGCTTCCATCCGGAAACCGCGCCGCTAAGACTATCTGGCGTGTTTGCCTACCACGATCTTATAAATCGTGTATGAAGTAGAGGAAAACCTTGCGTACTAGTCGCTAGGGCGCGGTGCAGTTGATGCATTTTGACTGAAGTTCGAGCCTCAACCATTTTGCACCGTGAACAAAACGTTTCTACCGCATCGAACCGAGTAAAACATTTCTGCAGATTCGAATCAGTGCAGATGTTCGACTAACTAGTCCGCTGGGAGGAAAGTACGAGTGAGCGCAATATCTTCAGCTGACCGCGACTTGATATTCCCCAATATATTGTTTAGTGACCAGCTTTTATATTACGGGCGCACTGTAACCAATTATTTTTCTCTACCCTTGCTCACTACATGTCCTTTGGACAGAGCTTACATTACCAGGTTAAGAATTGTGAACTGACATGCATGCGGTAGTCACTTAGAATCAGCGGGTTGAGTTGTTGCCGTCGGTCTTCACTACACGCACCAAATGAAATAACTATACGAGAGCACTGTAGTTAGTCAAAGGTACCGGTAGGTTGCTGCTTTTGCTGCTGGTGCTTCAGACAAGCCCTTTCCACTAAGGCACCTGCCGCCCACCCAACCAAACCTTCAACTTTCCTCCCTCAATTGCTTTTCAAGCTTCAGTCAAGCGGCTCCTCCTGCTTTGCCGCTGTTTCTGCTGCTGCTACCTCGACTGCTTCTGCAGATGCTGATGCTGCAAATGCTGTTCCTGCTGCTTCTACTGATGCTGAAGCAGATCCCAGATGCTCCATTGCACACCGGAATAGACACTGCAAGAATGACCGATACTGCAATCCTGCTCTCTCACACCCCACCTCTCATGGACCCATTCTTGTTGCCAGTTTGTCGCACCCAACAGGCAATGATAGCCGAATCCATGCTAGAGCATATGCACATGCACATGTACATGCGAATATGCACATACACATGAACATGCACATACACATGAACATGCACACCCGCATACTTAGCATCCCAGAAATGGGATCTCTTTGCTGCTGCTGCTGATGCCACCGATGCTGGTTGATGGTTACAGAGCCGGAATCTTCTGCTTTGGCAAGACGTCTTTAGAAGCACGCAACTTGCTGTCACGCAGAGCATGAGGCTTAGGATTGCTGCCTGTGCCGCTGCTGCTGCCACTTCTGCCCGCTTTTTCATCTGTGAATGCCACCGTTCGCCTCCTCCCTGACCTATCCTCGTTATACGCCGATGATTCTTCCGCTGCAAGTACAGGAGATTTTGGAATGTTCCGAAATTTCTCCAAGCCGGATTCTGGTGGTGTGTCTAGCGAAGCTCGTCGACTGGAGGGAACAGACGCGGCTTGAAACGAGCGAGTCGAGAAGTTAATAGGGGAGCGAATGGGGGAGCGGTTGGGAGTGCTTCCTCTACTTCCCTTGAAACATTGTACTGTAGCAGCTAAAGGACTGTCGATACTAAGGAACTCGTTATCCTCAGCACCACAGTCTCCGTACAAGTCTTCGTCTTTCCCCATGTAAGAAGAACCCATCGATTGTGGACTGTAGCTATCGCTCTGATGGTGACTGTCATGAGCGTGCTTATAGTGAAGCCCGTTTGGCACTTTCATACTGAGGGCCTTTTTCATCCACGCCGCGCGCTGCGGCTGACGCGCCTTCAGAATGTCCTTCTGATCGGCCGATTCCAGCCCAGCCCCGTTATCATCACCATCGACGAAGTATAAGTCTTCGTCAGACTTTTCGCTGGCGCTGCTGCGACCGTCGTTAGCGTGCGTGTGGCGACGAGTGAAGGGTGCGTATGGCGGAAGATCGCTTTCCCTGTTTCCGCTTCCCCCCGAACCAGCCCCCCTGGATAAGACTCGCGCACCCCCCAACTGCGCTGAAGTGCGGCTGCGCGTGAATAACCCCTTTCCGCCTTCCGAACCACTTGCCCCGCCGCTTCTTCCCCACCGACCACCTCCAGAATCATCGCAACCGTCAGATTCTCGGAACCCAAGATTCGTCGATTCCGATCGGGGCACCGCTCCGCCTTTGCTGCTTACACGCCGAAACCACGACCCACCGCCTCTCCCGCCATCCTCCCCACCATTTAATTCCGCTTTCAAGCTCACGCTCTTTTTCATTGTGCGAGACGATTTGCTTTTCGACAAAACTGTCGAGCTTCGAACTAGGGCAGACTTGGTTACAGACCTACTTAAGCCCCGCGACGAGTCCCCTTCCGCAAACGCCTCCACGCTGTGCACGCGTCGCACCGAGGGAGACGCAGGAGGGAGCCCCGCAGCTCGTCTGCCACCGTTTCCGCTTTCGCCGCCGCCAAAACCGCTTCCAGGTGACAGCAAATCGGCGTCGCTGCCACCGCTATTAGGGCTGTCGAATCTCCCGAAGCTGTCGTTGCCGAAGCTGTCGCCGTAGCTGCCGTTTCGGTATAACTCGCCACCGCCGACGGTTTTCGCTCGGTTAAATTCACGCATATTGAACTTTCGCGCGGATTTGTGCGAAAATGACGCGGACTTGGCGGCGGAAATCACGCACGTCTCTGCCGGCTTCGCGACGAGCTCCATCACGCGAGAGGGCGCCGCGGTGGCGGGGCTCCCGGGACGCGCCGCGAAGGACGTTCGTGGATCGAGTCGGCGGAAGGTCGCTCCACGGGCGAGGCGCGTCGGCTTGCGAAGGGTCGGGAAGACTAGCTTCCAGACACGATGCGCGTCGACTAAGACTGTATCCGCGTCCTTATCCTCCTGGAGGTCCCAATCTGGCGTGGGGGGTTGGGAGGAGTACATTTGGTTTTGTGTCCAAGGAGAAGGGGGAACTGGGGTTGGGTGGGGGAGGAGGGGAAACGGTCGGCGGGGAAGGAAGGGGAGGGGAGGGGGGGGCGGAGACGGCGCAATGAACAAAGACGGGGTGGGAACGGGAGAAGCGGGGAAAGCGAGGGAAAGCGAAGAAAGCTGGAACAGAAATTTCACAAGGGGGGATACATACGGGCCGCCTAGCGAGCTTACCGTCGACTCGGTTAGCGAAGCCGCTTCTAACGGCCCATCGTTCCACCTCCTCTTGCAACTCTTCCCTCTCCGCAATCTGCCCCTCCCTGATCGTCGCGACTCCAAACCCGTTATAACCACTCGCCTCCGGAATCATTAGCGGGTCGTCCGCCGCAATCACAATCATCCTATAAGAAACCTCCGAGCCGCCCATATTAGGCCGCTGCACCGGCAGCGCCGCTAGCGGAATCACGCCGTACGCATCCCCGATTTCTCTCGGTGCAGACCCTATCTCGATAGCCTGTATCGGAGCGTAATCGAACAGCGACGCGAAGCCGTCCGACGATCCCGCGGCGCCCGATTCATTCCCTGCGCTTGCGGGGCCAATGGCGCTTTGCGGAGCCGGCTTGCTGGCTTTCCCCGGCGACCCGCCGTCATTCGCGGCGTCAGCGACGGCGCCGCACGCGAGCACGCAGGTCTGCGGAAGTATGCCCATGTTCCACGGCACGTTCTCGTCCTCGTCGAACTCCGTCGTGCCGCTCAGCAGCAGCCGCCGCCGCCGCACGCGGAAGGCGGAGTTGCTAGCCTTCCCCGCGCCGCCGCCGCCGGCGCCGCCGGCTTCCGCGGAGCGCGTGCGCGTGCAGACGAAATAGCAGAGGTTGTCAGGCGGCGGGGGGGTGGTGGAGAAGGATGAGGTGTAGGTGGGAATCACGTCACCGTAGGATGCCGCTTCGGGGGAGGTGGGGGAGGCGGCGGAGGAAGACGGGGGAGGGGGGAAGAGGAGGATATCGTGCCACAAGGCTTTAACGGTGCCGTCAGCTATCAGGGGCAGGATATTACCGGAAGGGGTGGCCATTGGGAGTCCACTAGTCTGCTCGATTTAGGTTTGTTTCTGACTGAATCGGTTGCGCGAAGCTGTAATTGTATTCCTAGATATGGGAGACTGCGAAGCAACCTAAGCTAGGACGGCTTAACTTAGAATGAAGCAACAAAGGTAAATAAAAACATGTGACGAAGTTGACGGGGTGAGATATGAAACACCGCGGCTTGGAACTAGGAGGAGAAATGTGGAAGAAGTTGGCTGTACGGTTGGAAACGGAAGCTCATGCTTTCCACCAAGGCGGACACGAGGGCTGGTGGGTGGACGAATCAGCCTTAGTTTTCGCTGTGGTCCTAGACACTCATCACTTTTTGTTCTGGTGAAATGGGGCGTGTTCCGAGCGAACTTTATAGGATCTGGCCGATAGTTCTTCACGCGGCTCAAGCTGATCGTGATGGGAGATTTCAACCTAAATTTCGTGCTAGATTTGACCCCTTCATTATAGAGAAGACTGGGTTTTGACCTTCAGGCCATGATGCATGTGTTCAGTTCTATGTAAAACGGGCCCCAATATCCCTCAAAAGAGGTTGAGTACGATCTGGTGGCTTCCAGAGCGGCATTATCGCTTCACCACCTCAAAACGCCGAGAGCAGTTTCGGGCTGTGCTTCGCAAATATGGCTGAAATGTTTTGGGCAGAAAACGAGACTACACACCAGTAGATCTTGAAACGTTATTCACGACGCTTGCAGTTTCGATCCGAAATGGAAGAATTCACCGCGTTACTCTGTACAAAAAAATATGATATGATTTTGTTTGGGCAACTACGTTCTCGCGTTACCCACACCAGCTCTGTACGGCCGCGTCGGACTTTTATCTGCTTCACTACACTTCCTTCCGGAGTAGAGCAGGGTAATATGGTTTACTAACTTAAACGCTCAAACAAGTAGTTCGTCTGGAATTGGCTTCGAACCCACTTTGAATTTTAAGCAAACTTTCGATAGTGTCATTACGCTACCGCTATTTATGAGACTTGCATAGTAAGCTGATCAATACCAGTAATATAATATTCATATCAGATTCAGAAACATTTGTGCTTTAATTTTGCACCAACCAAATCAATAGTTTCATAGTGCAAGTAACATACAGGATTATATGCGTGGCACCACAGTTGTCGAAGCAGACGACATTGATTTGTGATTATGGGTATACACCCTCGTTCACCGGCTACAGTGTTTGGACGTAGCAGACTGGTGCAATACTTCGGTTGCGGGCAAAGTCGCACGAGGTGACGAGGCAAGCCTTGGGCAGTAAAAAACCTTTAACGCTGAATAACCATCCCAAACGTTTTGAAAACAACAGTACCATTTTATGAAGTTCGAAACCTTGACTTATCGCCTTGGGTCAAATTGTCACAATAACGCATGAGACAGGACCTTCTTTGGTCCGTTGCGGTTACACTAAGCGTCTCTGTTATTATAACATATGCTAAACTTTCAAGAAACAAAGTGTACAAGTGAGCTTACAGTATTGAAGCGTTCTAAGGGTGCATTCTTATCCCGTGTCAGACACAAGGCTAGACACGAAGTGGAGGTTCGGAAACCCCGAAGTGGCTCGTTTGTGGGGCGATTGAAGGTTAGGAAGAGACAAATTGGAGACTAAGGGCTCATGACTTGATGTCTGACACGAGATACGAATACACCCTAACAACTGTTAAAACGACTTCGTCGAGTAGCGCTCCCAAGGACAAAGGTGAAAGGTGGGTGAGGGCACCCCCTAGCTACAGTTTTGTTTTGTGGGATGCACGAGTGATTTCTTGTTTACATTTTTACTTCGGGCAGGGAAGGTTGGTCAGCATTTTTACTGTACCCGAACGAAAGCTAGTGAAGCACTTGTTTCTGGAGTATCAGTGCTGTGGGAAACTTGCCAGAAAGGCACATGAAACGGAAAAAAACAACACGAATATCCTCAAGTGAACAAGTTTGCAGTACATTACTTTCTAGCTGACCTGAACTTCCACGTGTCCTTGCAGGTCGGGTGATGCTGATTGTACATGCAACATAGCTATCCTTCCACCCAAATTCCTACGAATTTCCCACGTTTGCCCAAATACTACTGAGCTGTACAGTGCGAGTACAGTAATTTTTTCATTTCCTGTCACCTCACTTGCTCGACAGGAAATACAACGACGTCGGACCTCGGATATTGCCCGCCGGGGATTTGATGCCAAACTACAGTAACTTCAGAACTTTCCACGATATGGTATGGACCCTACAGTTCCTTACAGCCAGCAAAAGCGGTTGGAAGTGGTGGAGCGAGAGAGAGAACTTGCACAGGCCAATCGTTCACCGTGCCCAGCGGCACGTGTGAAATATTCCCTGAAGCTTCACTGTGTTAGCCCTTTAGAGCTGGCCCCGCGAATTGCTGTAAGGATCACACCGAGTGACTGATTTCAATTCTCTAAACTGGTGGTTGTTGCTGTACTTCCTGGCCTCATTTTTTAAACCTGGGATTGATATGTACTGGGAAACAGGTGACCGTAGCTAAGGGCTTTAGTCTGAACGGCAGAATGATCAAGATGGATGGACAGGAAGTGGGATAGAAAAGGAATATAACATCAAAGTACGAGGTCCATGGAACGAGGTATGCCTGCTGCCGATTTTACAGGCGCCTCAACAACGTAGCTAGCTACACCTACACCTTTAAGAAGGAACGCATATTTGGAAAGCATGATACAGTGTATGCTTGGCTGACAGAAGCATGAGTCGTTTCTGAGTCGCCTGAACAATCTTATCCTTGCTTCGTCAGCTGAGTGATACAGCTGGGTCATTGCTGAGTCA